ACTGTATAATTCTTCTGTGTGGTGGTGCAGATCATTTTGTGCATTGTAGGATGTTTAGTGGCATCTTTGACCTCTACCTACCTGATAGAGTAGCAACCCCTCCCAAGTTGTAACAATTAAAAAATGTCTCCCAATAGGGCTAAAGGTCCTCTGAAGATCAGAACAATCTCTGATTGATAACCACAGGGTTAGGCAGAGTTTTTAGATATGACACCAAAAGCACAATCCAGAAAAGAAAAGAAAATTATAAATCGGACTATATCAAAATACACTTTGCTCAAACAACAACAAGAAAACCATGTTAAGAAAATGAAAAACAAACCAAAGAACCTGGGAGAAATATTTCAAGTCATGTTTCTGATAAAGGACTTATATCCAGAATAAGGAACTCTCAAAACTCAACAATACGAATACAAATAACCTATTTTAAAAATGCACATAAGATCTGAACAGACTTTTCGCTGAATAATGGAAGGATATTCCATTATTCCAAGCCCATGGAAGGATATTCAACATCATTTGTTATCAGAGAAATGTAAATTAAAATGATAATGAGATATCACTACACAATCTATTAGAATGGGTAAAATATTTTTGAAAAGCTGACAATACCAATGACTGACAAAGATTTGGAGCAACTGGAACCCTCATACACTGTGGATGGCAATGCGTAACAGTGCAGCTACTTGGGAAAACAGTTGGCAGTTTCTTACAAAGTAAGTATATATTTATATACAACCCCGCAATCTAGCTCTTAAGTATTTACCCAAGTGAAATGAAAGCCTATGCTCACATAAAGTTGTTGAGTATTTATAGGAGTTTTATTCATAATCACCAAAACCTGAAAATAATCCAAATGTATTTTAATAGATGAATGGATAAATAAATTTCTGCCCATCCATGCCATGTAATATATGCAGAAAAGAGTTAACATAGAAGGCCTGAGGCTGCTATCTTTAGAAAGACAAGCTTACAAGGTTGGCATTTCACTGATGTCTAGAAACTTGGCCACTTGAACCATTTCCTACACTAAGCCCAGACTCTTTGTTATAAACAATGTGATTTATGTTGAACACGGGCTTTCCCTCTAGCAGTCTGGAATTGTCTGGAATTTTGATATCTGCTAGGCAGAGAGTGCCTGTGTAACAAGCACACAATAAAAACCTTGGACTCTGAGTCTTTAATGAGCACCCTTGGGCAGAAATATTGCATATTTTACTGTCTTTTTCACTGCTAGGGAAAGGAGCGTGCTTGGTACATCCCTTCACAAGAGGGAGAGAACATAAGGAAGTCTGTGTATGGATTTATCCAGATTCTACCTGCATCTCTTACCCTTGCTGATCCTGTTATGTATCCTTTCACTATAATAAACCTAATATATTAATGAAACTATATACTAAGTCCCTTGAATTCCAGTAAATCTCTGAATGTGGGGATAGTGTTGGGGCCCCCTAAAATAGGAAACTACTCAGCAATAAGAATAAATGAACTGTTGATACATGCAACATGGATGAATCTTGCGTGCATTATGCTAAGTGAAAGAAGCTAGACTCAAAAGGCTCTACATAGTATAATTCCATTTATATGACATTTTAGAAAATGCTTTAGAAATAGCTACAAAGAATAGGTCAGGGGTTGCTAGAGATTAAAGGTGAATGAAGAGTTTGACTACACAGGGGCTACACAACGGACTCTGTGGGGGGAGGGGGGTTGGTGGGAGGTGATAAAACCATTCTGCAGTTTGGCTATGGTGGTGGTTATACAACTCTATGCAGTTACCAAAACTCAGACTTTTACACCAAGTAAAGTTCACTGTAAGTAAATTTAAAATAAATTTAAATTGAGATATAATCAACTGCCTTTCTATAACCAGCAACAAATAGGATAATTAAATTAAAAGCATAAGTTATAGGGGCACCTGGGAGGTTCAGGGAGGTTCAGTCAGTTGAGTGTCCAGCTCTTGACTTCAGCTCAGGTCATGATCTTGGGATCCTGGGATCAAGCCCCACACTGGGCCACACTCAGCAGGGAGTCTGCTTGAGGATTTCTCTCCCTGTCCCTCTGCCCCTCCCCTAGCTCGTGCTCTCTCTCTCTCTCAAAATAAATAAATAAATCATTAAAAAATTTTAAAAACCCATAATTTATAATAGGTACAAAAACTATTAAATACTCTAAAATAAGACTAATTAAAGACACATAAGACCTCTCTGTTCAAAACTACAAACTATAAGGAGATTAGAGAAGACATACATACATAAATAAATAAAGTAAATAAATAAATAAATAAAAAGATATACCATGTTCTTGGATTGAAATACTCCAATATTACAAAGACATTAACAATTCCATTGAAATCCCAAGATATATTTTTTTAAGTTGACAAGGTGATTCTAAAATTATATGGAAATATAAAAGGTGAAGAACAGCCAAAAGCTTTAGAACAATAAAGTTTAAGTACTTAGTGTGCTGTATATCAATACTTATCATAGAGTTATGATTAATTGGACAGTCTGGTATTGGCAAAAGGTTGGACAAATAGGAAACAAAATAGGGAGTCTGGAAAATGTGCCCTGATTTATATACATAGAACCCCTTAATTTGTGACAGAGTTTGTGCCATAGAGCCTTGGGGAAGTTACAATCCTTTATATATGTGTGGAAAAAATTAAAACTTGATTATTATTTCACATCACCACAGAAATTTCCAGGTGGAGGACAAACATAATGTAAAAGTCAAAAAAATTACTAGAAAAGTTACTTTATTGAATACTGTCATGCATAATGTTATGTCAAGTTCTTAAATAGGATATAAAAAGCTCATTATAAAGAAAAATATTGAAAATTTGACATTAAATTCGCCAGCTTCTGTTCCTCAATAGACATCATTACCAGAGTAAGTGTAAGATCATTCGCAACATGAAGAAAGTCTTGTACCCACAGCATACAAAGAACTCCAAAACATAAATCAAGAAAAGGGAAATAACCAGTAGAAAAATGGATGAGGAAAAAAAAAAGGAAAAATGGATGAGAGAGCTAAACAGGCCCTTTACAAAGAGAATATCCAAAATGGTCCATGAATGAGATATACTCATACTCAAAGGCACTCAACCTCTACAGCCACCGGGGAAATACAAATGAAAACCCGTATCATCATTATAGAATGACTATAATTAAAGTGATTGGCAATTACAAGCATTAGTGAGGATGTGGAGTAACAGGAGCTCTCACTGTTGCTGGTGGGACTAGAACTTGATACCACCACTCCAGACAATGGCCAGTCCCTACTACAAGTGAGACATGTACCATCTCACACCCAGGCATATACCAACCATAAATAAGGATATATACTTTCACTAGCACAGTCGATCATTACCAAAACTGTAGACAACCCAAATATCCATGAACATTAGAATGCATAATTTTTAGTGTATTCAAATAATAACTTATACAATGAAAATGAGCAAACTATTGCTACACACAACAACTCACAATTATAATGTTGAGCAAAAGAGGCTAGAGGACAAGAATGCATGAGGAATAGTTCATTTCAATAAAGTTAAAAAAAACCCCACTAAACTATGAAGTTAGAACTCTTCCTTTGAGGAGGAAGCCCTTGAAAGGGGACAAGAGGGCACTTCTAAGGAGCTGGTAATGTTCTGTTTCTTGGTTTAGTTATAAGGTATGTTCACTTTGTGATATGCATTGAGCTATATGCTTAGGATTTATTCATTTTTCTGTGTTTTTATACAGAAACATTAATATTATATTAAATGCTTTAATGGGCCCCCAAATGCTTTTCTTCCAAGCATTTTAAGATTATATTAAAGTTTATATAATTAAATATTATATAAAATTAAAATAAAAAATATAAAAGATATTCTTTAAGTTAAAAAACCCATGAATCAGATGATATCAGTTCCTGTCGTAAAGTTATGGAATGGCTTCCTACAACACTAACAAGGACCCTTGATCTGGCTCTTGCCTACCTCTCTGTCCTCAATTCACAGGGTCTCCCCTCTTTATCACCATGTTCCACCCTGGTCGTCTTTCTTTCCCTCACATATACCAAACTTGTTCCTGTCACAGGTCTCTGCTTGCTCTACCCTCTGCCTACTGTTCCTTCCACACCCTTCTCTATAGCTGCCTATTTCTTGTCCTGGGTCCCCACTTAAATATCAGCTCCTCAGAAATGCCTTCCCTGACCGTCTATCTCATTTAGCACTCCCACCTCACTTCCTAGTCAACATTTTCTATAAAGGGCCAGATAGTAAATATTCTAGTTTTTGCAGGCCAGATGGTCTTGGTCATAATTACTCAACATTTCTGTGGTAGTGGGGAAAGTAGCTCTGGGCAATATGTAAATGAGTGGGAGTGGCTGTTCTAATAAAACCTTACTTATGGATCCTGACATTTAAATTTTATAACATTGGGATCCCTGGGTGGCGCAGCGGTTTGGCGCCTGCCTTTGGCCCAGGGCGCGATCCTGGAGACCCGGGCTCGAATCCCACATCGGGATCCCGGTGCATGGAGCCTGCTTCTCCCTCTGCCTGTGTCTCTGCCTCTCTCTCTCTCTCTGTGTGTGTGACTATCATAAATAAATTTAAAAAAATAAAATAAAATAAATTTTATAACATTGCACATGCCATAAATTATTCTCCTTTTGATCTTTTTCCCTCAAGCATTTCAAAACGTAAAAACTCTTCCTACTTAATTCAATCATAAAAAGGCAGGCAGTGGGGCCAGATTAGGTGAATGGCCCTAGTTTGCCAGCTTCTGCTTTAACCTGTGACCCTGATTTACTTTCTTCCTAGACCTGATTTACTTTCTTTGTTACCTAAAATAACTTCATTCCTTCATATGTTTGTTGTCTATCTTCTCCCGCCCCTAAAATTTCAGCTCCAAGAGGGAGGGGCCTCATCTGTTTTGTTCTCCACTGTGTGCCTACTGTCCATCACCATGTCTGACACATGGAGGCCAGAAGAATTGAAGGCCCAAGCCCACCTGGGTGTGACCACAGCTTTGGGTTGGATCTTGATACTCTTCTTCCGAGTGGGGCTTACAGAAACAGACCCATGTTCTTCCTTCGAAGACTCTCCAACTGAGGATTCCAATCGGGCTGACTGAGATCGTAGTAAAAGGGCTTCTCCTGAGTATCCAGTTGGCTTGGTGCTCCGCTCAAGGTAGAGACTCGATTTTACCCTGGTTTGATTGATTTCTGCCTCTTCCTTAACCGGGTATTCTATGGTGAACAGGCCTGTTAACAGAAGACACAGCTGTCACTCTCCCTCGTGGCCTTCCCTGCCCTGCTGTGGGGCTCTGCCTATCAGCAGCCCTGCAGCTCATCTTCCATGCCACTCCTCCACTCTTGCATGTTCTCTGGCCGAGCTGCCCCCCCTCTGGTGTCCAGCACACAGCTCCAACCCTAGTACAGTTAGTGGATCAGTAAATGTTGGCTGAATGTCAGAACAAATCAATCGCATTTCTATTCGTTCGTCAAGACTCAGCTGGGATCCCTCTTTCGTTATGAAGCCCATGTTTCATTCAGCTCTGTGTCCTCCGTTGCACTCTGAGTGCCCTGGGTACACAATGTCTCCATACTGTTCTCTTTTCTGAGAATGCTGTTGCCTGTATCTCCAGAGATAAGTAATTTCCACTACTTTCTTTGTTGTATTTATTCGAATTCTTGTTTTAGTTTCTCTACTAGACTTGAAAACTTCTGAGGCCTGGGATTTTCATTTCTTATTCACTTATCAAACATTTATTGGATGCTGGGAATATATAGATGTCCCAAACAGGGTTCCCTGCCTCTGAGAACTCCTAACCAGGGTATGAGGGGGATGGGCAAAGAAATATTCACAATGCTAGGTAGTAAGACTTATAATTAGAGCATATTTTTTATGTGGGAACCCAGAAGAGTATGAGACTCATTCTGTTGGGGGAATCAAGGAAGGCTTTCTGGAGGAGGGATACAGTTGAATTGAGTCTTTAGAGATGAGGAGAAACTCCTTGGAGCACAGCAACACCCCACCCCACCCCCCGGTAACCAGCCAGGGGGTGGCATGGAATGGAAGTCACTGTTCCTTTGTCCCCAGGCTCCTCAGCAAGAGAGCCTAGATGTGATAGGGGTCCTGAGGTCACCATGCTGGCCCTGGGGGGAGCCCCTGTGGCCTAACAGAGACAGCCTGGTGAGCTGGCTGCTTTTTTCCCTTCTATCAAGGTTGTCCACAGAGAGGAACAGGGTCTGCAAATGGATGACGGACTATATGGGAGACAGAACTGAAAGGTGAACCAGCTGTAGGAGTGGGTCAGAGAGTCACAGAACAACGACAGGAGGCCCAGGAGAAATAAAACAACCACAGGAGACGCTGAGGACACGTGGCGGTGCTCAGAAACTGAAGGCTGTGAAGGCCACCACTACTCCCGACATGGCCCTGAGTATCTTTACTTCAGCGGCCTGGGCCTCGTCACTCCATCTACCAATGAGGAAATTGCCCTGCCTGCCCACCTCCCTGGGTGGCAAAGAGCTGTCCTCAGAGGTGCCTTGTAGGTGACCCAGGATATAGGAAGTTATCAGATAGGCATCACCGGTCTTTCTGCCCCTTACCTGCTGTCAGCAAGACAGAATTCATAAACTGTGACACTGTCTTTTGAAATCGCTTCCTCATCTCTGCCAGAGCTCGGTTCATCTTAGCTATCTTGTCGTCCATGCGGGCCAGCAGCTGGGGAGAGGCCAAGGAGGAGAGCATTGTTGCTTCCCTGCCAGGAGCCACGGGCCCAGCCCACCAACAGCTAGGCCTTGCTCTGGCTGGCGGCCGTGCTGTCCCCTCTGCCACGACACGCCTCTCTCTTGCCCTCTGCTCAGTGAATTCCTGCACATCAGCCCAACTTGACTCAAAGTTGACTCAAAACCTTGTTGGAGGGTTTCCCTGACTCTACTGGGCAGAACTGTTCCTTGCTCTCCATGTAGCCTGAAGTCAGAGTTAACCCTTTATGAAGTAACTGGATGCATCTGAGACTGTCTTGCCTGCAGGACTGTAAGCTCTTAGAGGGCAGGGGCCAAGTCTTGGTCTCTTTGGTGTCCAAGCACCTGTCATGCAGAAGGCGCTCAATTAATGCTTGCTCCATTATGAATAGCTAGATAGACAAAGGCCTCTTTGGGATCTCTGCTGTTAGGCCCCCTCTATATGCATCCCCCAGTGCCCCCATGCTCCCTACAGCTGCCAGAATATCTCAGATGAGAAACTGCTCATAGCCAAGGTTACATAGATTGACTGGTCCCTGTTGGGATCAAAGGCCCAGGCCTCCTGCCTCAATTCAGAGCCATGCTGAAAGGCCATTCTGGCTCTGAGGCCCTCACAGGATGGCAAGGTTTCTGTGGGGTTCAACCTCTACCTCTGCTGGAGCAGTTCAATGGCATACAGACCTAGGCTCAGATTTTAGAGTCCATGGCAGTCAGAGCCTGACCTTTCCTCCAGGAGGCCTTTGCTGATTTCCTCAGCCGGGAGCAATGCTCCCCATGCTAAATCCGAGCTTTAGCCCGTGCCTGTCCTTTCCACCCTGGGCCTGACCATGTTTTACCTCCTTTGCCCATAAACTTGGTTGGCCCCAAGAAGGCAGGATCTTTGCTTTCTACATCTCCCACTTAACACAGAGAAGTTGTGGAAACAATTTTCTGTGGAATTGAAGCCTCAGGTAGAGAGAATGGGATGGACAGTGGACAGATTTTCAGAAGAATGATGGTCAGTCTATGTGTCCTACTTTACCCCGTAGGCAGGACGTCCATAAAGGATGCCTCAGTTAATAGCAAAGCCTCAACTATCCTTCTGGGGTTAGGCCACAGCTGCTGCTTCTAGGCTAATTTTATTTATTTATTTGTAATTTATACTCAGCCTGCTTCCAAAAAGGATTTGAAGTGGCACTGTGGGCTAATAAAGCTTTTAAATTGAGGTGTTGCCTCACTTTCAAAGTGCTGCCTTGATAGAAATATTTAGTGAGGAGCCTGGCCGCAGGGCTGTAAAAGCTAGGACTGCCGTTCTGCATGTCGCTCTGATAGGTGGCTCCTTCCAAGGTGATGGGAGTCTGGGGAAGCCATTTAACAAGCTTGTCACTGACAGGAACTTAGCAGGAAGAGGCCACCCTACTTCCCACCCTCAGCTTTTCTAGACTGCCATGGATTTTGCTGATGAATGATAACCAGCCCCAAACACACAGACATAGGAAAAAGTTGAACAGATTGTGTGGAAGCTGGGCAGGCCCTTACATATCCCTCTACAGATGGGGACACTGAGGACTAGAAGGGAAGGGGCTGGCCCAAGGCTCTATGTCTTCTTCCTAGCCTTGGTCGGCCTGCACAATTAGCAAGTCTTCTCAGGGGCCCCTTGCAGCTCTGACAGTCCAAGAATCAGAGAGGAGGGATCCCTGGGTGGCGCAGCGGTTTGACGCCTGCCTTTGGCCCAGGGCGCGATCCTGGAGACCCAGGATCGGGTCCCACGTCGGGCTCCCAGTGCATGGAGCCTGCTTCTCCCTCTGCCTGTGTCTCTGCCTCTCTCTCACTGTGTGCCTATCATAAATAAATAAAAATTTAAAAAAAAATCAGAGAGGAGACAATTTTCTGAGTCTCAAGATTTCATGTACAAATATTTCAAGGTGCTTAACCTGGCAGCTAAAACCAACATTTGGAAATTGTGTTTCCTACAATAAAACCCATATTTCCTCATTTGCTGTTGTTTATCTAGTCTGAAATCTGTGTTCTCAAACAGAAGGGTTGACGACCTTGATGCTTCTGTGGCAAGTCAGTCTTCTGGGTCAACATCAATAACTACTGACTAGAACCCAGCACTGTTTCCAGAAGCTGTTTTAATATACTGATCTGCTTAGCCCTTTGCTAAGTGTCCCCGAGACAGCTATGCTTTTTGAATTATGATGTCCTTTTAAATAACTTTCCAGCTTTCTACCACACTGGCAAACTGCCTCTGTGAGCTTCCCTGATGAAGACACCATTTTCAAGATCCACACGGTCCAATATAAAGAAAATGCAAGCTACACATGTGGTTGTAAACATTTCTATAGCCACATTTAAAAAAAAAAACTCTTAAAGGTGAAATTAATTCTGGTAGCAGATTTATCTAACCCAACATATATATTTTTTTTAATTTTTACTTATTTATGATAGGCACAGTGAGAGAGAGAGAGGCAGAGACACAGGCAGAGGGAAAAGCAGGCTCCATGCACCGGGAGCCCGACGTGGGATTCGATCCCGGGTCTCCAGGATTGCACCCTGGGCCAAAGGCAGGCGCCAAACCGCTGCGCCACCCAGGAATCCCACAACATATATTTTTAAATGATTATTTTAACATGCAATCAAACCATTCATGAGAAAGTTTACATTTTCTCTTCATGCTAAGTTTTTGAAACACAATGCATATTTTCTCTTGTGGCCGATCTCCATTTGGACTTGTCACATTGCAAGTTCTCAGTAGCTGTTTGTGATGTGTGACTACCATATTGGGCAGCACAGCTCTGGACTTCTCCTTATTCCAAGATTGCATTCAGGTAAGATAAAATAAGAATTGAATTACTGAGGGGCTTTCCTCAGTCCAAAGGGCATGTTTGGTGCATGGACATAGAGTGACCTCTTTTGGCTGTTCATGGGGGTCTTTAATTGCTTACATCCTGGTTCTTAGCTGTGAACCAGACTCCAGTGTTTACTAGATAAGAGGCTGTCAGGAAAACTAGGCATTACTACAATTTTATGGGAAAGAACAATTCTCTAATATCTCTTGCCTTTGGTAGGAAAAATAAGCTCACATTTTTTTACACAGTCTAAAAAGGTTTTTAAGAAATATAGGTATATGACTTCATACATCCTGTGTACTTAGCCACATAACAGCAATTTTCAGAGTAATAGCATGGAACCAAATGGGCAGGGCGGACTCATCAGTAAGCATGATCATCATCTTAGCCCACATGGAGTCAAACCCAGGGTTCTTTTGCTCTTTGAAATAATCAGTGCAGCTCACAAGTATCTGAGTTTCCTGGATGCTCCAATGCTCCTTTAACAAACATTCTCTCCTGGTCCCCCAGGGGCTCCCATGGTGCCTCTCTCCCCTACACACTGCACCAGTCCAGCTGGATTACAATTGATGTTGATGCTGTTTCCCCTTCCATTAGATGGAAAGTATTTTAGAACTAGAGGGAATGAGATTTATTCCATTTCTACATCCCCAGAAGCCAACTTGGCACACTGTGTTAACAAATGTTTATTGAATTACTTAATGAATTAATGAAGTTGAAATGCTGCTGAAATAAAAAGGTGGTGGGAAAACAGATGGAATGCTCTCTTCCAAGAGAAACACAGGTGTTCTCTATCTTGTTCATAGAGCATGGGTCCGTAACAAATGCCTGCCTCCGTGTCCCCGATGTAAAGTGAGAACGTTGGGCTGGCTGCTCCTAATGGGTTCTATCAGCTCTGTGAGTCTATGAGCCTGTGGCATGTTGGTGGCAAGTACCCCTGCAGTACCAGAGCCTTGCTCAGCCCCAGATAGGAACACAGGGAGGGGGAACTGCCCTCTGGATGATCATATAATTAGCATCCAAACCAGGACACTTTTGAGAGTGAAAGAGGATGCTATTAATAATTCCTCTAGGCTGATAGGTATAAGCTGGGACTGGGCCCATGGAAACTGGGAGGTAGAGTCCCAGGAAGTTCCAAGGAGCCTTCCCCAATGAACCAATCCCAGCAAAGTACCCGATCTGCAATGCAAGTAGCCTGTTCCATCAATGAACCCTTGGTTACCTCACTCTCATGGTGTATGTCAAGTGTTCTCCACTAGACTATAAATATAAATATAAATATAAATATATAAATATAAATATAAATATAATCCCTCAGGGATTGGGGATGTGTGCCCCTCGTCCTCCCCATCTCTCTCCATGATGCTGACTTGGGACCAGGGACACAGGAGGACCCATAAAGACCCAGAAAATAGAAGAACTGGGCTTCTAGTCTCCACTGTTTTCTTACCCACCCAACAAATATTTAGTAAGCACTTAATTTGAAGCAGTCCCATGCTGTAGCCCTGGGGAAACGTCAATAGGCCTCACGGGGAATTCTCAGTCTGGTAGAAAAGATAGGTTTATAAGTAAAGGACTGCTAGAATAGAGATGAGTCATAGCTGGGAAAGCCAAGCAAAGGGAGAGGCAGACTCTCCTTGGGATGGGAAAGGGGGTAGTGGAGAGGGTCATCAACACACGTTGGTAGTTATTCTTTCCAGTAACACCTCTTATTCATCTGGTAACAGCACCATGATGTTCCTGCCTCATCTTTCAACAGGGCAGTGTACCTGGGGCTGATCATGCCCTTTGGCTCTCAGGATGAACATGATACTCAAGCCTGGGCTGTGAGAGCAACATGTGCTCCTGGCCATGGGGTCCATTCAGGGAGAGGTGGCAATGTTGGGGTTGGCACTTTTCCTTGATAGCTAAGGAAAGAGAAGCCCTCTTTCTCCTTGGAAGAGCAAAGCTGGTAGAATAATGAGCCCAGAGATGCTTATGACCATCTTGTCACCATAAAGAGAGAAACTCTCTGAGAATGAAGGCAACAAAGAGGAAAGAAGAGCCAAGAGATGGGAATATCTGATGGAATCATTTGAGGGCCTGGATCCAGCCATGCCTAAAGCTGCCTACTGATAGACTTCTCAGTTTACTGAGCCAATACAGTTTCTCTTCATGCTTAAGCTAATCTGTTTTGGATACTATCACAACTGAAAGACTCCTAACAGACGGATGTTTCACAGAGAAGGTGATTAGGAGTTCATTAGTCAGAGAAAGAGGGAGGGCCCTGCATGGGAGAGGGGGTGGAGGGGTAGGTGGAGCACACACACTGAAATATAGAATGGCAACCCACACTGAGACGCCTGGGGTCAGGCCTGGGGACCTGGTCTGTTTTGGCTTACCCGTTTATCATGTGCTACCCCATGGGGACAGTTGTTGGCTGATACAGAGAGTGTTATTGTTTCATTTAGGGAAGTAAAGGTGACTGTGATGGAGTCCTGGGCCAGCACCATCAGCTTCATTTGCTCATTCACCTGCAGATGAAGAAACAGTGCTTAGGGGATCTCTGCTTCTATTATCCACCCTCCCCCTACTACCATCACCACAAAGCACAAAACTTGGCTTGCAGCTGAGAAAGCTGTAAGGTCCTTCCAGGTCTTATGTTGGAATTTAGCTTTCATAGAAAAGAAAGGATTCCAGTCTCTCTTTGGGGACTGGCAGAAAAAGTAACAGATGCCTTCCTATTCCTGCCCCTTCCCTTTCCAGTGGAAGCTTAGAACCAATGTGAAAGAGACGCAGGAGTCTGGAGGTGAATCAGCTTTGGTTCCAGTAGAGCTGGATGGAGATGTAGCTTGGCTCATAAGTCTACACTATGAATCAGATATGTCCACCCAGGCAACAGGCCTGACCATGAGCCTTGCTCTAGAGCATGCATGCCTTGGGGAGCTGACAACATGGCAGGAGATACCAGAATGCACCCTTCTGTGTGTGGGTGGGCAGATGACAAAAGGAACCCAGCAGGGGCTGAGACACATATGCTCAGTACCCTCCCCACAATCACGAAATATGTCACTACTCTTCTCCTAAGGAGGAGCCAAAGGAGCTTTAAAAAAAAAAATCACTTCCAAAAGGGGTGGGATTGCAGATAGGAACAGGGAGGATGAGCTGCCTTTATAGCAACTCACTCCTGAGAATTCTGTGTTCTAGAAGTAAGTTCCAGTTCAGCCTCTATTAAGCAAGCCAGCTTCTCTGAAGCTCAAATTCCTCAATAGTAAATAGTTCAAAGTCTAGTATCAGGTTCAAATGAGATAAAGATTATGGAAGTGGCTTCACAAGCCACAAAAGTCCATAACACACATGAGCAGATATAGTCAGGGTGTGGAAGCACAATCCAATCCTGTGAGGTCCCTGAATGGTTCACATGTGCAGAGAGTTATGTATGCATAGTAGCCCTACACAAGGGCCTAGGAGTCTGCAGCCCTACTTGCTGTGTGCTGATGCTTTCTTCCACCCTTCATGTCTCTGACCTATGTGTATCTCAGGACTCCTCTGAACTAAGGAAATACTCTTCATTTCACTCCTTCCATTTGCTTCTGCTATTCCACTTATTGGCCCCAAGGTCTAAATTCAATTCTTTCTCATACTCTTCAGTCTGGATGCTAGTGGTTTCCAACACCCAGAAAATATTTGATCCATGGCTGTCTTTTTACCAAGTCTTTTGACATCTTCATACTTGTTGATCACTCCCACTTAAGAAAAAACCCTACCCTCCCTCTCCTGTTCTTCTCCTAGTGGGTGTAGTATAGAGCTGTGGTTGAGAGCTCAAGTGCTACAGTTGGGCAAGGTTCAAATCCCAGTGTTGCTACTTACCAGTGGAGCAATTTTAGGGAAGTTGGTTAGCTTCTCTGAGCCTGGGGACAGTAACAGAAGTTTTTTTCCTATGGCACTGAGCAGATCTCATGGGGTAAAATATGCACAGGGCTTAGCACAGTACAACTGTTTTTTATTATCCCTGTTCCCTGGGTGGTTTCTCTTCCTCTCCCCAGTGCCCCAAATGTGGGTGCTTTACAAGCTCATTCTCTACTCATCTTCTTGAGAATTCATGAGCCAGTCCATCACATATATGCATCATCCCTAATCTCTCACCCTAAGAGAGGATTATGTCACAAAAGCCACCGAGCCCAATCAACACATCTAAAACATACTGATCTCTGACCCTCTCAGAAACTTGTTTTCCACCCAGATATATACTCCATTATAGAGTCATCTATACTTCCCTCTCTTCTCATTTATTCCCTACAGCTGATGCTTGAATGCCACTGAATTCTTCTCCTGAAATGGCTCCTTTAAAAAATATTGCTGCACCCCTTCATCATGTCAGATCTGGCTAGTAACCCCCATAACTAGTCTTTGTACTACCCCATCCACTGATCTTTCCCTTTCTAGTCAACTTTCTATACACATGCTGGACCAAGCATGCCAGCCCTCAACTTAGAAACTAACCAGCTGGTTGTACTTCCAACATAGCTGAGTCAGTTCCTACTAGGCTGACCCTCCTACAGACCTTGGCACAAATACAATAAAACAACAAACCAAAGGCTCTGAAGAATAAACAAAAACAGGCAAATTTTGAAGAGTCAAAACTTAAAAGAAAGGGCCAGCATGGGATGAATTTCTACTTTATAGTTTTGGCATGAAGGCAAGCCACAGTCATGGCCAAAACACCACCATCTTCCTGACCCAGAAAACCAAAGGACTGAACCTGTGGAAACTACAATCACAGAAAAGTAAGGATAAAATTCCAGAAGAGACAGCACCAAAGAAATAGAGACCCAAATTTTGTGAATAGGCCATCCATATCCCTGGCTAATCCCTGAGCCATGGATGAGCAGGGGAGACTCAGGACAGCTTACTGCTAGGGAAACAGAAAAACTGAGATGTGAGTTCCTGCCCATTGCAGGTAAGACAAAGTTTGTGGTGTGAGTCTAATCAAGTTATCTGCCTGCTAAAACAAAGAATATTAACACTCTTCAGAGAAATACATCAAAATTCAGATTCTACAGTCCACAGATCCTCAGATAACACACATAATGTCAATAATCTCAAGTTATCCAACATGTAAAGAACCAGTGAAGTGTGAGCCGTTCTTAAGGTAACAGATAACCAATCCTGTGTGGTATGTCCCAGATGTTGAAATTATCAGACAAGAACTCTAAAGCAACTAATTTAACTGTACTCAATGAAGTCAAGGAAAACATAGTAATAAATGAAAAAACAGACAATCTCAGCACAGAAATAGGAAATGTAAAAAAAAGAACTAAATGAAAATTCTAGACTTGAAAATATATATGGGAAACTTAAAAAATTCACAGGATTAGCATAATAGCAGAATGAAGATATCATAATAGTCAGTGAACCTGAGACTTAGATCCATAGAAATCATCCAATCTGAGAAGAAAATGAACAACAAAAAAGAACAGAGTTGGGGTGCCTGAGTAGGTTAGTCAGTTAAACATCCAACTCCTGATTTTGGCTCAGGTCTTGATCTCAGGATTGTGAGATCGAGACCTATGTGGGGCGCCAAGCTGAGCATTGAGTCTGCTTAAGATTCTCTCTGGGGTCACCTGAGTGGCTCTGTCAGTTAAGCACCAACTCTTGATTTCCACTCAGATCATGATCTCAAGGTCATGAGGTCAAACCCCATGAAGGGCTCTACCCTCAGTGGGGAGTCTGCTTGAGATTCTCACTCTCTCCTTCTCACTTTGCCCCTCCCCCCATTCACACTTTCTCTCCTTCTCTTTATAAATAAATCTTGTAAAAAAAAAAAAGGCATTGTCAACTTGAATGTCCACACAAAGTATCATTAAAAAAAAAAAGATTCTCTCTCTCTCTCCCTCTGCCCCTCAGCCTGCTCATGTTCTCTCTCCCTCTAAAATTTAAAAAAAGAAACAATAGAGTCTCAGAGACCTTTGGGACAATATTAAAAGTTCTAAAATACATGTAATTGGAATCTCAGGAGAAAAAGAGAAAGGTTGAGCACATTTTTCCCCTAAAATAATAACAGAAGACTTCCCAAATTTGGTGAAGGACATGAGTGTACAAATTCAAGAAGTTCAGTAAACCCCCAACAGAACAAAGACAACCACATCTAGACACATCATAGTCAAACTAATCAGATTAAAGATGAAATCTTGAAAACAGCTAGAAAAATAAACAATGACTTGATAACTACATACTTCTCATCATTAACTTTGGAGGACATACACAGTGGAAGAGTATCTTTAAATTGCTAGAAGGAAAAAACCCAGTAAACCCAGAATTCCATACCCAGCAAAGATATCCTTTCATAAAAACATTTTTAACTGGGTAATGGGCACTGAGGGAGGCACTTGGTGGGATGAGCACTGAGTGTTATGCTGTATGTTGGCAAATTGAACGCCAATAAAAAAATAAAAATAAATTAAAAAAAATTTAACAATAAAGCAAACAGAATTTGTTGTCAGCAGATCTGCACTTCAAGAAATGCTAAAGGAATTTCTTTACTGAAAAGAAATGATACTGGAGGAAAACTTGGATATTCAGAGAGGAATGAAAAACACTGGAAATATAAATATCTGGGCGAAAATAAACTGGCCACTGCAGGCTACAAAACGATAAGCAAGTTCCTCTGCCTGACATCCAATAACTCTTACCTCCACCCCACAGCATATATACCTCCTGCCCCCTTTCTTTCACAAGTTGCACCTATGAACTTTTAAGATACCGCACTGAGTCCCAGCTCCAAGCATTTACAGGTGCTATTCCTTCTTCCTGGAATCCTCTCCCTTCCCTCTTCTAGTTACATGAATCATATGCACACATGCTCCTGTTGTCTTCCAGGCCACTCTTGACTGCACCGGCAGCTGTTGTGAAATTCTGTATGCAGCTCCAGGGGATAGAACAATGAACCGAACTATATTGTCAAAACAATTTAGTGTTGTCAAAGCAACTCCTCCCCCCCAATTATTTTATTTAGTTCCTGCAAAAGCAGTGTGAGGCAGGGCTGATCTGGTGACCCACTTTGTATTGACCAGACAACCAAGACTCAGAGAAGCTGAGTGATTTTCCCAAAACTTAATAGTCAGAGTCTGGCTAGCTGGCATTAAACAAGGCTTCTCAGGTTTTCATTCCAGTTCTCTGTCCACTTGGTCACACTGTTACATAACATACGGTGCCTGTCTGCAACAAATTTATAATCTTCATGGACTATAAACTTTTCAAACATCGACAAAAAGCTTAATATTAAGACAATAACTCAATACACTCTTAGACTGATGATCTCTGACCTGGCCAAGAATCAGGAGTACATGTGAAAACTACAGATATCTAGTACTCATAACAGACCACCTGAATCAGAATCTCTCTGGGGCTGTGCTTGGGGATCTGTATTTTTAAGGTTCCATAAGATTATGATATGCAATAAGAATATGACTAATTACTAACCCAGACTGTGGGTATTGTGAGAAAAGAGAAATGGATGTGGATTGCAATGCCATGATAGAGAAGAAGTATGAGCAGGGCTGCAAAAGAGAGGAAATTTGGATTGGCAGAGAGAGGAAGGGGCACATTTCAGGCCAAAGGAATGGGAAGGGTAAAATATGTTCAAGGGATTGAATGTTTCTGAGCAGAGGTGTGACCTATAGGAATTAGGATATAAGGATGAGAATCCAGTAGCCAATGCAGAGGAAGAACAGGAATAGCAAGAGACAGACAACTAGGGGTAAGGTACCTGCCACACACTCCAAGAGCATCCATAACCCTTACCCTTAGGCTCTTAATAGCAGGCCACCTTGAGTAGATTCTGTGTTCTGTGATCTTTCTCTGAATCCCAACCATATGGGCTTGTCCCTCTCTCATTGCTCTTATTCTTCTGTATCTTGTGTCCTTATTACTCTCCTGAACTTTGGGATTCCTTGAGGGGCTTTATTTATTTTTCTACCCCCTAGATCAGTGATTCTCAGTCAAGAGCAACTATTCCCCCCAGGGATGTCTGACAATGTTTGGGGATATTTTTGGTTGTCACACTTGGGGAGAGAATACCACTGGCATCTGATGCAATGTTGCCAAGTATCCTACAATGCATAGTTATTATCCAAAGAATTATCTATCCCAAAATTTCATTTCTGCCAAGAATGAGAAACTCTGCCTTAAATTAAATAACAAACACATTTAGCTACTTTATTAATAAATTAAATTTATCACAATTATTTAATTTTAGTAATTCCACACTAATTTATTACTTAATAAATCTTTAATGAGTGACTGAACAATCAAATGAATAATAAAAAAGAGTTTGTCAGCTACCCGTGATGTGCAGGTTTTTTATTTCATGACATAGTAAAGTTATAAAAACAAACTGGGAAGACCAACATAGAATTGCTAACTTTTCTTATTGCCATGTATAGACATTAAAAATAAAGCTATCAACTACTATAATAGTTCCTTCATAAAATGAAAGGCATTTTAACCATTAAAATGTAGTAATATTAACAATAAAAATAAAATAGGACATACATTACTAGGAAAGGTCAGTACCACACCCAACAGTTCCTGTAGGCTGGGGAAAAGTTTACTTCAGTCAGCTCCCAACCACCACTCACTCTAAATGAGACTATACAGCTCCCAAGGGCAAGGCAGTTGTCTTATAGGTAGCCCTCTTGACTCTTACTGCTGGGCAGCCCAAGGAAAGCTGCTGAGGCCACCCCACCTATGCTGTCCATGCCCACCTTATACTCCAGGGAGAGCAAAGTCTCCGTCTTGGAAGTCCAGCTCCATTTGTGGACTACGTAGCCCTTGGAGTCATTGGCAGTCCCACCTTCCTCATCCAAGACCAAGACGTAGGGGCAACTAGGAGAGATACAAAGGTCAGAAATTGATGCCAGGCCCCTGAAGGAAGTCCTCCTCACTACAGACAACAGGCAGGCAGGGTTCTGAGACTCTGTCATAGATTAGAGGAACCATGAAGTCCAGAGGGCAGCCTCACTTCCTCTGCCTATATGGTCTGAGGCCTCTTCATCTGTTGATGCTACAGGAATGTCAGTCAGAAAGGGCATGTTTGACAGAGATAATGGAGGCTCAGGTCAAACCCAAAAGGGAAGAAATGGAGTGTATGCCCAAAAGCCTGCACATACAGGATCTCAGGTGCCAAAATGGGAATGGGAACATCTATAACACAAGAGTAAGTTATTCCCTCTGAAAACTGATAAGTTTCATAAGTTCCTTATGAAACTGACTTTTGGCTGACAAGAATATGTGCCTCTCTTAAAAGCCCCCACAAAGTGGTACTCATAGCCTCTCCTTCACTTACTGCTGGTATAAAACACTCTTATCCACTAAGTAATTTTTCCATGAATCCAGCCAACAATCCAGATCTTAGTGCTCTGGGGGTACAAGTGGAGTGGGATGGGGGGATTTGCCCTTCTCTTTTGCTGTGACATACATCTAGCAAGCAAAGGTCAGCCCTCAAAATACCTATATCCCTGCAGGCCCTACTTTAGCCCTGCCTCACTGTCTTCCTAGACCTCTGGACACTGGTGGACTCTCCTTTTCCCATGGACTACTACCTCAGTGCCTCCCTTTGTCACCATCAGAAACACTTTCATGGGGCCAGGATTCCCCCAAGCCACTCACCGGGCCTTCAGGTTGTAGTAAACATAGCCCTGTCCTTCAGCATTGAACAGAGCCAGAAAGAAGTTGGGTGTGTCATTAAAGAGGTAGGTGATGGTTCTCCCTCTGCAGCACGTGGGGATCTGACACATGGCGATGTTTCCAGAGGGATAGCTGGCAAAAATGGTCAAGGAGAACTAATAGAAAACTCTCCAGGTTCTGCTTTCAGGTGCTCCATGGAAAGTAAGTCTACATGTCAAAATGATAGCTATTTGGTGCATCATTCCTAGTCTTCAAAGACCCTTCTTGCACTTTGGAACATAACCATGTCTTGGGTGCCTTCCTGTATCTTCTTTCTATTTCTCACAACCACCCTGTGGTAGGTAGTATTATGTCCACCTCACAAATGAGTAGGGTTTTCTGGGCTGTGGGACTTTTAGTGCTAAATCCAGGAAAGTCTCAGGCAAACCAGGACAAGTTGCCCATCCTACAGATGAGGAATCCAAGGTGCAGAGAAATTATCTTCCTCACATGACACCACAAGGAAGTGGCAGAACCAGGACCTGAACTCTGAAGCATATTTCTAATGTTGTCAGGCTGCCTCCCATTATGATCAATCTATGAGTAGAGGCAATATCTCTCTGCTCATTTCCTACTAAAGTGACCCCAAGAAACACTGGTCCCAGCTTGAAGGAACACAGTTTGGGTAGCTACTGCAGGAATTTAAGTAGTACCCCAGACAGAAGAATTTCTAGAAAAGAATCTTTCCTTGCCTCTCCCTAGTTTCTGGTGGTTGTCAAGAATCTTCGGCATTGCTTGGTTTATAGATGTACCATTCTAACCTCTGCCTCAGTCATCACATGGCCTTCTTCCCACTTTGTATGTGTCTGTTTTCTCTTCATTGGATTGGGCCCAACCCTAAGCTAATGTGACCTTATTTTAATTTAATTATATCTGCAATGACCCCACTTCCAATATGATCATATTCTGAAGTTCTACATGAACATAAATTTTGAAAAGACACTATTCAATCTATTATATCAGGATAACCACTAAAAAAAATGACTAAAAATAGGGATAAAGAAAATGAGAAGGGAATAAAAATGGCATGCTACAAAAAAAGTCAATCCAACACAAAAGAAGGTAATAATAGAGGAACTGAAGAACAAAAAAAGATATGATGTATAGAAAATGGATAGTAGGGCAGCCCCGGTGGCGCAGCAGTTTAGTGCTGCCTGCAGCCCAGGGTGTGATCCTGGAGACCCAGGATCGAGTCCCACATCAGGCTCCTTGCATGGAGCCTGCTTCTCCCTCTGCCTGTGTCTCTGCCTCTCTCTCTCTCTCTCTCTCTCTCTCTCTCTCTCTGTGTCTCTCATGAATAAATAAATAAAATCTTTTAAAAAAATGGATAGTAAAGTGACAGAATCAAGTCCTTCCATATCAGGAATTACATTAAGTGAAAATGGACTAAATTCAACAAAAGGGTAGAGATTGACAGAAGGGATTTAAAAAAACAAAAAGAAAAGATCCAACTATATGTTGTCTACAAGAGGCTTCCTTTGGATCTTTAGATCCAAATACACAACTAGGTTGAAAGTCAAATGATGGAAAAAGATATTCCATGTAAATAGTAACCAAAAGACAGCAGAGGTGGTTATATTGATATCAGAGACAATAGACTTTTAAAATTTTTACAAGATACAAAAAAGAACATTATATATTGGGAGAAAGGCTGATACCTCAAGAAGATATGACAATTATAGACATATACACACCTAACAACAGAGACCCAAAACATATAAAGCAAAAACTTACAGGAATAAAAAAAGAAACAGTTCTACAATAAAAGTTGGGAGACTTCATTACCTTACATTTAATCATGGAGAGAATAACTACACAGAATATCAATAAAGAAAGGAGAGAATTTGAACAACACTATAAACCAACTAGACCTAACAGAACACTCCACTCAACAATAGCAGAATACACATTCTTTTTGAGTGCACAAGACCATTCTCTGGTAAAGATATGTTAGGCCACAAAACAAGTCTCAATAAATATTAAAAGACGAATCTTAGAGAATATCTTCTCTGACAACAGGATAAAACTAGAAATGAATGGCAGAAGGAAATTTGGAAAATTCTCAGATCGGTGCAAATTAAACAATACACCTTTAAACAACCAATGGATAGAGAAGAAATCACAAGGGATATTAGAAAAAGTTGAAGGTGTGAAAACAAAAACACAGCATATCAGAACTTATGGGATAAGGCATGGGAATGAGGTCAGAGGGCAGAGTCCAAGGGAGCAGCCACAGAAGCCAGGATGGCTGCTGACATCTGACTTGGGTCAGTGAGGAACCCTGGGGATCTGGCCCAGGCTGGTGCTCCCATTTTCATCCATGCTTTCGTGCTTCTCACAGGGGATGACCCCTAACTAGGTGATTGCACCTACATTCAAGGTGGACCCAGCAGGTTTTCTATCAGGTGTTCCACCAAATAATGCTGGAGTTAGAAAGCCTCCATTTCTTTGCTCCAAACTGGAAAACTTTGTTCCCTGTATATAGAGTAGGAATAATGTTGGTTACAAACTAGCTGGTGTTTAAAACTGAAGATTGTCATGACTATTTAACATAAGCTCTCTTCTGAAGTATAACTAATTGACTTGGAAATACTAAGTCAGTTTAATTCCGAGTGCTCAAAGAATCATCCCCACAGGAACACAATATACTGGTAACTCAAGTTTGCTTTTGGAACCATGAAAATTTTGCTTATTTTTGACTTTGAAAATACAATCATACATGACAACAGTGACACCTGGATTGTACAGTGCACTCCAGAGAAAAAGCTTCTACAAAATTCTTATAAAAAAGGATTTGGGGCAGAATTTATGGGCAGAATCTTTAAGAATATGGGAAAGGGAGATGTAAGAGAAGATGAAACTAATAGAGCAATGACATCAATACATTTCACTCTAGGGTTGGTGGAACTTTTGAACATTATAAGAAAGAACCAAGGATAGGGCAGCCCGGGTGGCTCAGCAGTTTGGCACTGCCTTCAGCCTAGGGCGTGATCCTGCATGGAGCCTGCTTCTCCCTCCGCCTGTGTCTCTGAGCCTCTCTCCCTCTCTGTCTCTCATGAATAAATAAAATCTTAAAAAGAAAGAAAGAAAGAAAGAAAGAAAGAAAGAAAGAAAGAAAGAAGAACAAAGATAAATTTGACTGCATCATTATTTCAGATTCAAATTCAGTCTTCATAGATTGGGTTTTAGAAGCTACCAGTTTTCATGATGTGTTTGATAGTGTTTACAAATCCAGCAGCTTTTTTTTTTTTCAAATCCAGCAGCTTTTGATAGCAATGGTCATCTCACTGAAAAATTATCATACTCACTCTTGCAATAGATATCCAGAGAATCTGCAAAACTGTAGTTTTGGTAGAATTTGTAGATTCAGCTACAACAGCTAAAATTTATGAATTATACACAAATTGTTTATATAGGTGATGGTGGAAATGATGTTTGTCCAATAACTTTTTACTTTTTTTTTTTTTTTTAATTTTTATTTATTTATGATAGTCACAGAGAGAGAAAGCGAGAGAGGCAGAGACATAGGCAGAGGGAGAAGCAGGCTCCATGCACCGGGAGCCCGATGTGGGATTCGATCCCGGTTCTCCAGGATCGCGCCCTGGGCCAAAGGCAGGCGCCAAACCACTGCGCCACCCAGGGATCCCTAACTTTTTACTTTTTTATTTTTATTTTTTATTTTATTTTTTTGTCCAGTAACTTTTTAAAGGAGAATGATGTTGCCATGCCATGGAAAGGATATACTTTAGAGAAAACTCTTCCCAGAATGTCTCAAAATCTAGAACCTATGGAATCGTCTGTTGTAGTTTTATCTTCAGGTGTTAAAAATAATTTCTCACTTACAATTTCTAACCAAGGAGTAATATGCCAACAACAATAACAACAACAACAACCTATGGGATAAAGTGAAACCATCACAGGAAGAAATTTATAGTTATAAATATCCACATTAAAAGAGAAGAAAGATCTCAAATCCGTAACCATAATTTCCACCTTAGGAACTAGAAAAAGAAGAGCAAATTAAAGCTAGCAGAAGGGAGGAAATAATAAAGATCAGAAGAGAGAAAAATAGAATGGAGAACAGAAAAACAATAGAAAGCACCAAACCCAAAAGTTAGTTCTTTGAAAAGATCGATGAAAACGTTAAGACTGACTCAGAAGTAAAGGAAAATTCAAATTCCTAAAATCAAAAAATGGAGACATTACTACTGATTTTACAGAAATTTTTAAAAATATCATAAGAGAAGTATATGAACAATTGTATACCTACAAGTGAGATTGTCTAGTTGAAAAAACAAATTCCTAGAAACATGCAGAGGGAAATTGCAGGATACAAGATTGACACCCAGAAATCAGTTGTACCTCATGAACATGGGATGTCTTTCCATTTATCTCAGTCTTCTTTAATTTATCTCAACAATATTTTGTAGGTTTTAGTGTACAAGTCTGACACCTCCTTGGTAAAATTTATCCCAAAGTATTTTTTTCTTTTTGATGCTATTGTAGATGACATCATTTCCTTTTGTTTATTGCTTTTTAAAAAATTGTTGTTGCTGTTCATACAGCATTTCAGGTCATTTGTTGCTGGTATTCATGGATTGGAAGACTTAATCTTGTTTATGGCAAAATGCCCCACAGTGATCTATATATTCAGTGCAGTCCATATCAAAATTTCATCAGTCTTTTTTTTTTGCAAAAACAGAATATTTGATTTTAAAAATCATACAGATTTGCATGGGACCCCAAATAACCAAGTAATCTTGAGAAAAGAACAAAGTTGAAAGAGTCAAACTTTCCAATTTCAACACTTTACTACAAAAATCAAAACACTGTGGCACTAGCATAACAAAAGACATACAATTCAATGGAATAGGATTACAAGTCCAAAAATAAACTCATATATCAATGGTTAACTTTAAAAAGGGTGCCAAGACCATTCAATGGTGAAAGAATAGTCTCAAGAAATAGAGGTGGAACAACTGGGTATCACATTAGAAATAATGCAGTTGGATCCTGAACTCACACCATATACAAAAATCAACTGAAAATGGATCAAAGACCTAAATATAAGAGCTATAACTATTAAACTCTTAGAAGGCAATATAGGTACGAGATAGTTTCTTAGGTATGAAACCCAAATTACAAGGAAAAAAAAAAAAGAAAAATTAGACTTCATAAAAATTTAAAACTTCCATATATCAAAGGATACTATCAAGAAAATGAAAAAACACCCCACCTGCAGGATAGGAAAAAAATTTGCAAATCATATATCTGATAAGGATCTAGTACCTATAATATACCAACAACTCTGGCAATTCAATAAGTAATGGACAATCAAAAAATGGGTAAAGACACATTTCTATAAAGAAGATATACTAAGAAGGCACATGAAGATGTGCTTGAAAGATGCTTGAAATCAAGATGCTTGAAATCATTAGTTATTAGGAAAATGCCATTCAAAGCCGCAATGAGATATTACTTTATAGTCCTAGAATGGCTAGAATTTAAAAACTGGAAAATATCAAGTGTAGTTCAAGAATGTGGAGAACTTAGAAGTCTCACATATTATATAGGTGGGACTATAAAATGGTATAGCCACTGCAGAAAACATTTTGAAAGTCCTTCTATAAGTTAAACATAGAATTACCATATGACCTGGTAATTCCACTTTTGGCATAGACCCAAAAGAATTGAAAACAGGTATGCAAACAAAAACTTCTATAAGAATGGTCATAGCAGTATTGTTCACAATTGCCAAATAGTGGAGAAAACCTAATGTCCATAAGCAAATGAATGGACTAGGAAAAAAACTGGAATATCCATATAATAAATTATTATTCAGCCACACAAAGGAAATTCTGAGATGTGCTAAACATGTTATGACCCTTGAAAACATCCAATGTGAAAAAAGCCAAACACAAAAGGCCACATATTACAGGGTTCCATTTATATGAGATGTCCAGAATAGGCAAATCAAAAAAGATGAAAAACAGATTGGTGGTTGCCAAGGCTGGGCTAGGGGAAAAGAGTAAGTGACTGCTGAATGGGCATAGGGTTTTCTTTTGGGGTGATGAAAAGTTTGTGGAACTTGATAGAAGTGATGGTAGCCCGACACTAAATAGCACTAACTGCCACTAAATTATATATATTAAAAAGATTTATTTTATATTATGTGAGTTTCACTCCAGTAAAAACAGGAGGTACTGATGTATATTACAACATGGTTGAGCCTTGAAAGCATTATGGTGAGTCAAAGAAGTAAGATACAAAAGGCCACATACTGCATGATCCCATTTATATAAACTATCTGGGGCAGGCAAATGCAGAGGTAAACAGCATGTTAGTGGTTGCCAGGGACTGTAGGGGAGAGGAAATGGGCAGCATCTGCTTACAGACATGGGATTTCCTTTTAGGGTGATGAAAAAGCCCTGGAACTAGATTGTGGAGATGGCTGCACAGCACTGTGACTGTACTTACTGCCATTGAAATACACTTTAAAATGATTAAAATGAGAAATTTTATGTGATGTACATTTTTCCGTATTAAAAAAAAAAAGTGTACCTCACAGAGTATTTCTGAGTGCTCCACCAATTCCTAAGGGAACAGTGCTAAGGTTTATTTATTTTTTTTCTAAGGTTTATTTTTAATGTGAGTTTATTTGTGCACAGGGAAAAAGGCCTCGAGGGAAGTTTGATGGGAGAATCAGCAGTTGAGGGAAGACATCCAGGAGATGCTGACAACGAAAGAAATGAAACCCAAATGAAATGAATACTGGGGATGGTTCTGGGATCTACTGCTGACAAAGGAAACCAATCAGGGCTGGGAGCTATCTGGCATCTCAGGGGCAGATGGACCATTTCTACCTGAGAGCTTTGCCCAGCAATCTCCATGAGACTAGAATTAACTGCTGAGCCCAGAAAATGTCTTGATGAGTCAAGCATGCCAGGAGCAGTGCCTGTGGGTTTGGGGTGGTCCCACCCAGGAGGACCTCAGGATTCTGGGACAGGGGAAAGAATGAAGGCCCACCCCCTCTGGTCGTGCTGGTAACAGAATTCACAGACACAGCTTCCCAAGCTCAGGGAGATGATCTTACTCAAGGAAATGAAGAATCATTTCTTCATTTCAGGAAAGGGGGAAGGGAGGGCCCATGACCCACAGCAAGCAGCAGCTCTCCTGGAAGGGAGCAAGACTGAGAGGAGTGTGATGAATGGATTCATTTACAGTCAGAGAAACAATAGGACTCCTTTGACAAGATGCTTAAATTCTGAATTCCCAGTTCAGTTAGAGAGGAGGCCAAATGAAGTGAGGGGGGCTATTGCTGGGCAGGCCTGGCTGGGCAGCCTGTGGGATAGTTCAGAGAGCTCCCTCTCCTCCTAAAGCACGGGACACTGAGTACCCACTGGTTTTATTATTAAACAAAGCCCCTTTCCATCCCCATCTCCTGCTCTCTGCTGCAGGAAACAATTCTGGAAGGCATGACAATTGTGCCAGAAGGAGGGCTCTAAATAGAGGTGAAATGGCCCTGAACCCAGGCCTGGCTCTGCCACCAAATTCCTTTTGTGACACTGAAGTGAGTGACACCATTCATTCCTAATGAAGGGATGTCTGGCTTAGTGGCTCCTCTCTTTGATGTCTCATCTGGCTCAGACTGCAGAATCTGGAATAAGTGCTTTGCCTTCTCTGGTCTCAGAGCCTTGCCACCAAATGGACTGGGCATCTTGTCCAGCCCCACTGCCTATTGGGGAGTAGGTGACAGGACCCCTGCAAGGAACACAGGGGTCCAAGGCAACTTCCTGATGCATTGCTTCCCACCCAGACATTCCCTAAAGGGAGCCTTCTCTGACCTGAAAAATGCTTAATATCCTGGAGAACCTGTCACCAGGCTTCTCTGGTCAGTTGAAAAGCCAAACTAAATACCCAGGTGTATTCAAGCCTGGGACTTTTCTGGGGCTGAGATGCTGGGGAGAAGGGGCAGCATCAAATAAAAGGATACTACACAAAGGAGGACCCATCATAGAAGGTGTAATGCAACTTGATGACCTTCTTGGATACCTTCCAGTCCTGAGAATGCCGGCTGAAGTGAGGATGGTGGTAGACAGGAGGCTGGTGAGGGGTGGGAGTGGATGTCTGAGCACCCGGAAGGTGAGAGTGGTGGGAGCTCAGGGTCTGAGCATCCCCTTTCGGGGCTGACATTAGATGAGAGGGCACCTTTGCCCTGTAGTTGCGAAAGATCATGGGGTAGGAGAAATTCCTCCCTTTCCACGAGGCCCTTTCAGCTTCTCTGCAGGGAAGGAGACCAACATATCTTCTAGCCACTTGGCTCCTACTCACCAGGGACACTTTCTCTACAGCCCTGTCCAGTTCCCAAGACTCTCATCCCAATTTCCTTTCCTCAGAGTACCTGTGCCCATCCCCATTTTCCCTTGTCCTTAAAGGCAAGAATTTTAGGAAGAACTGGGAAGGTCCTGTTGCCTCTCTGAAACCAGTCCTTGCCTGACTTCCACCTTTAGCAATGGGGTGAGGACCCATGCAGTGGGACTGAGTACAGAAGGGGGACCCAGTAGGGGGAGGTGGAGGCTCTGCTCAATCCCCACTCCTGAGGTTACAAGGAAAGAACTTCCTTCCAGAATATTACAGTAAGGGGCAAGCTGGGTGGCTTCCTTCCTCCCATGTTCTGTAGCTGCAGTAATGGCCCATGGGAGAACAAGACATATCCCTTATGGGGCTAAGTTTTAAATCCTTAATGGCCCATGGTCTGAGCCTTTGGAGAAATATAGACTATCTTACTAGAACTTGTGAGACCCAGAATCATTAGATATCATCACCCATGTCAGTGTTTTTTGTTTGCCCCGAAAGGACTTTTGCTGCTGTTACAGGAAAACATCTGACAAATTATGTTAAGAAATAAACTTTCAGGGCACAAAGCCTAAAAAGTGTAAGGAGCCCTGTACAGGGTGAGGAGGCAAAGATCAACGCCCTTGGGTCAGGTCCACAAAACTATGGGACCTCTGGTAATGGCTTACCCGTCTGCTCGGGCTGCCTCAGTTTCCTCATCCGCAAAATGGGCATACCCCGTCTTCCTCATCAGGTTGTAGTGAGGACTGAAAGGACTGAGTGGGGAGAGATTGGGGATGGGAGTGTGTGTGAGGGACGGCCATCACCCCTGTCACTGTTGTTGGGGGCACTGCGTAGCTGGCACTTCCTGGCACCGCTCAGACACTTCTGTGAATTCCCCCCTTCATGCACACAGGTGGCTGGTGGCCATACCCAACTCTCACATCCACCCCCAGCCACTGAGGCACTCACATATGGCGACACATCTCCTGCAGTTTCTCCCGGGCCTCAGGGCAGGGGTCGTTGAACTCCATACTGTCAGAGACAGAGATTCCAGCTCCTCGTTGTAAGGGTGCTATGGTTATGTCTTCTAAGATTTTTGATTTACCTGTGGTTGGAGAGGAAGAGCTTAGGGGGGAGGGGGAGGTTAGAGAATGATTTCTTAAAGATGCCATGTTCACATGGGGGCGAGGCAGCAGGGAGAGCAGGAGAGCAGCATCTCCTGAGGGTCAAAATAATTGGGGGCATCATTCATGCTTCCTAGGGACAGGAATCCCTGGCTCTCGCTCTGCAAGTCAACTAAACATGCATTAGGAACAGACATGTGCAGAGTGACGAACTCAGGAACCTGTGCACGTGACTGCCATGGATGCTGAAGTGGTTCCCTTCTGGCACTTCTGATTAAAGAACAGAAAGTCTCTGGGGCACCTGAGTGGCTCAGTCGGTTAAGCATTCAACTCTTGATTTTAGCTCTGGTCGTGATCTCAGGGTAGTGAGATCGAGCCCCACATCAAGCTCCGTGCTATGTGTAGAGTCTGCTTAATGCTCTCTCCCAGGGTGCTTAGGTGGTGCAATCAGTTGAGCATCCAACTCTTGATTTTGGCTGAGGTCATGATCTCAGCGTTGTGAGATCAAGCCCCGCATGGAGCCCCACGTTGGGCTCTGGGTCAGTGGGGAGCCTGCTTCTTTCCCTCTGCCCACTCATCCCCCACCAAAAAAAAAAAAAAAAAAAAAAAAAGAAGAAAGTCTCAGTTCCAACTCAGTCAGCTATAACACTTCTCTGATGTATTTCGACTGAGATTTGGACTGAAATGTTTTCTTATACATTGTGGTAAACTACACATCACAAAAATTTATCATCCTAACCATTTTTACTACGGACAGTTCTGTGGTATAAAATACATTCATACTTTTGTGCAACTGTCACCATCATCTATCTCTATAAACCCTTTTTCATCTTGTAAAATTAAAACTCTTACCCATTAAACAATAAGTCCCATTCTCCACTCCCCCAGCCTCTGGCAACTACCACTCTACTTTCTGTCTTTATGAGTCCAACTACTCTAAGTACCTCATATAAGTAGAGTCATATAGTATCTGTCTTTTTGTGCCTGGCTTATTTCACTTAGCATAATGTCTTCAATGTTCCTCTGCATTATATCATGTGTCAAAACTTCCTTCCTTTTTAAGGCTGAGCAATATTCCACTGTGTGGATAGGCCACATTTTCTTTACCCATTTATCCACTGACAGACACTTGGGCTGCTTCCATGTTTCAGCTATTGTGAATAATGCTGCTATGAACATGGGTGTGCACATATCTCACTGAGATCCTGCTTTCAATTCTTTTGAGTATATACCCAGAAGTGGAATTACTGGATTATATGGTAATTCCATTTTTATTTTTTTGAGGAAAAGCCACAGTTTTCCATTCCAGCCACACCATTTTGCATTCCCACCAGCAGTGTATAAGCATTCCAGTATCTCTATATTCTCTCCAACTCTTGTTTTCTGGTGTTTTGTTTGTTGTTGTTGTTTATATATAGCAGACATCCTACTGGGGATGAGGGAGTATTTCAGTGTAGTTTTTGATTTGCATTTCTCTAATGAATAATGGTGAACATTTTTTCACGTGCTTGTTGACCATCTGTATATCTCCCTTAGAAAAAAGTCCATTCAAATCCTGTGCCCCTTTTTGAGTCAGGTTGTTTCTCTTTGCTGTTGTTTTTAGAAGTTCTCTATTTGGTTTGAATTATAATTATAGATATATGATTTGCAAATACTTCCTCTAATTCTGCCTTTTTACTCTATAGATAGTATCTGTTGATGTACAAAATTTAAAATTTTTCACAAAGTCCAACTTGTTCATTTTTTTTGTTGCTGTACCATATCCAAGAAATCATTGCCAAATCCAGTGTCATGAAGCCTATTCCCATGTTTTCTTCTAAGAATTTTATTGTTGTAGGTCTTGTATTTAGTTCCTTGACCCATTTGAGTTAATTTTTATATGTATTATTAGATAATGATCCAATTTCATTCATTTGCATGTGGAAATCCAGTTTTCCTATGCTAGTCATTGAAAAGACTGAATGCCCCATTGAATGGTGTTAGCATTCTTGTCAAAAGTCATTTGACCATATATATAAAGATTTATTCTTGGGGTCTCTATTCTAATCTATTGGTCTATATGTCTATCTTTATATGCCAGTATCACACTGTTTTGGTTGCTGTATCTTTGTAGTAAGTTATGAAAAAAGGAAATGTGAGTCCTGCAATTTTGTTCTTTTTCAAGATTGTTTTAGTTCTTTGGGGGCACTGAGACTCCACATGAATTTTAAGAGGAGTTTTCCTATTTCTGCAAAAAAATGTCATTAGGATTTTGATAGGGACTGCTTTGAATCTGTAAATCCTTCTGGATAGCATTAACATTTTAACAATTTTAACTCTTCCAACTCATAAATATAGGATATACTTCCATTTGTTTGTTTTTTTCTTTAACTACTTTCAGTAATGATTTGTAGCTTTCATTGTACAAGTCTTTCATTTCCTTGGTTAATTCCTAGAGTATTTTGCTCTTTTTTTCTGCTATTGTAAATGGAATGTTTTTGTAATTTCCTTTCCAGAGTGTTGTTTGTATATGAAAATGAACTGATCCGTGTATTGTTGTATCCTGCTACTTTGATAAATTCATTTATTCTATTGGGTGCAATATTTATGGTTTTTTTGTATATAAGATCATATTATCTGCAAACAGATAATTTTAATTCTTCCTTTCTAATTTGAATGTCTTTTATTCCTTTTCTTGTCAATCTTGCTATGGCTAGAACTTCCAGTTCTATGTTGAATAGAAGGGGTGAAAGTGGGCATCTTTGCCTTATTCCTGATCTTAGAAGAAAAGCTTTCAGTCTTTCACTATTATGATGTTCGCTTTATGTTTTTCATATATGACCATGTGAAGGTAGTTTACTTCTATTCCTAGTCACAGAGTGTTTTTTTTTTTTATCATGAAAGAGTGTTGATTGCCAAATACTTTTTCTGCGTCACTTGAGATGATTGTATGTTTTTTTTTTTCCTCCTTCATTCTGTGATTGAGTTTTGTGTGTTGAACCACCCTTGCATTCCAAGAACCTGCTTGGTGTCATGGTGTTAAATCCCTAATGCGCTGTTGAGTTGTGTTGCTAATATTTTGTTGAAGATTTTTGCATCAATGTTCATAAAGAATATTGTCTGTAGTTTTCTTTTATTGTAATGTCTTTGTCTGGTTCTGATATCAGAGTAAAGCTGGCCTCACAGAATGAGATGGGAAGTGTTCTCTCTTCTTTTTTGGGGAAAGCTTGAGAATGATTGTAATTAGTTCTTTAAATGTTTGGTAGAATTCACCACTGAAGCCATCAAATGTAGGGCTTTTTATAGTTGAGAAATTTTTTTTTAAGATTTACTTATTTATTTGAGAGAGAGTGTGCATGTGTGTGTGAGTTCCAGGAGGGACAGAGAGAGAGACAAGCAGACTCCTGCCAAGTGGGGAATCGATACAGGGCTCAACCACAGGACCCTGAGATCATGACCCATGCTGAAACCAAGAGTCAGATGCTCAGCTGACTGAGTCACTCAGGCACCTCTTTGTTGGAAGAGTTTTTATTACTGATTTAATCTCCTTAGTATTCATAGGTCTACCAAAATTTTCCACTTCTTCCTGATTTAGTCTTGGTTGATTTTTGTGTTTCTAGGAATCTGTCCATTTCATGCAAGTTATCCAATTTGTTGGTGTATAATTGTTCATTGTACTCTCTCATAATCCTTTTTATTTTTATAGAATCAGTGATAGAGTACCCACGTTCAATTCATTTTAGTTATGAGTCTTCTTTTTTTCTTAGTTTATCTAGCTAAAGGTTTGTCCATTGTATTGATCTTTTCAAAGAATCAACTTTTGATTTCATTGATTTTCTCTATTTTTTAAATTCTCTTATTTCTCTCTATTCTAATCTTTATTTTTTCCTTTTCTAGCTTTGGTTTTAGATTCTTTTCCTAGTTCTTTACATTGTAAATTTAGGTTTTTAAGTTTGATGTCTTTCTTATCTTTTTTTTTAAAGATTTTATGTATTTATTAATGAGAGACACACAGTGGCGGGGGGGGGGGGAAGAATGGCAGAGACACAGGCAGAATGAGAAGCATGCTCCATGCAGGGAGCCTGACATGGGACTCAATCCCGGGTCTCCAGGATCACGCCCTGGGCTGAAGGCGGCGCTAGACCAGAGCCACCCAGGCTGCCCATCTTTCTTATCTTTTAATTAAGTATTTGTGACTGTAAATTCCTCCTAGTACTACTTCTGTTGCATCCTGTAGGTTTGTAGCATCATATATGATGCTCTCATTTTCATTCATCTCTAAGTATTTTCTAATTTCTCTTGTGATTTCTTTGTTAATCTATTGGTTGCTTAAGAATGTGTTATTTACAGGGCACCCGGGTGGCTCAGTTAATTAAACACCTGACTCTTGATTTTGGCTCAGGTCATGATCTCAGGGTTGTGAGCCTGTGTCAGGCTCTGTATTCAGCGTAGAGTCTGCTTGAAATTCTCTCTCCCTCTCCCTCTGTCCTTCCCCCTGCACTCTCTCTAAAAATAGATAAAATCTTTAAAGAATATGTTATTTACTTTCCACAACTTTGTGTTTTTTTTTTCTAGTTTTCCTTCTGTTATTGCCTTCTAGCTTCAACTCATTGTGGTCAGAAAAGATACGTTGTATGATATCTATCTTTTTAAATTAATTGAGATAATCTATGGCCTAACATATAACCCATCCTGAAAAATGTCCAATGGCATTTGAGAAGAATGTGCATTGTTCTTGTTGTTTGTGTTTTAATTGGTTAATTGTGTTATTTAATTCCTCTATTTCCCTACTTATCTTCTGCCTGGTTGTTTTTCCATTATTATAAGGGTACTGAAATTTCCGACCATTACTGTAGAACTCTCTTGTCTTTATTCTGTCAGTTTTTGTTTCAGAGAACTATATATTTTATGCTTCAGATATTTTTATGGTCTGTCATTAGGTGCATTAAATATTTACACTATCTTCTCGTATTGAAACTTTTATTAATACACAGTGTCCTTTGTCTCCTGTAGCTTTTTTAAAATTTAAAGTCTATTTTGTCTGATACTTGTATTGTAACCCCTGCTCTCTTTGCATAGAATTTCTTTTTCCATCCTTTCACCTTCAATGGGTGTCTCTGGATCTCAAGTGAATCTCTTATAGATAGCATATCTTTGGATCATGTGTTCTTATCCATTCTGCTGATCTCTGTCTTTTGATTGGAGAATTTAGTCTATTTACATTTAAAATAATTACCAATGAGGGACTTCTACATTGTACTTTTTGCTTACTATATGTCATATGACTTTTGCCCCTCAAATCCTGCAATACTGTTTTCTTTATATTGATTGTCATGAAAGGTTTAAATTCCTTTCTCATTTGCTTTTTTGTATATTCTATAGGTATTTTCTTTGTGGTTACAATGGGAATTACATTTAACATCCTAAGGTTCTAACACTCTAATTTGAATTTTTACCAGCTCAAGTTCAGTAACACACAAAAACTCTCCTCCTTTACAGCTTCATCCCAAACCCTTTCAGTCATCATAAGATTATATCATTATATGTTATGGGCACCAAAACATAAAATAACAATCTTTTAAATATATTAGTCTTTTAAATTACATAGAAAACAAGATTTGTAGTTACCAACCAAAGTTACAGTAATACTAGATTTTACACTAATTATTTTTTCTTTAAATGTATTAGTCTTTTAAATCTTGTAAGAAACAAAAAGTGCAGTTACAAACCAGTTACAATAATCTTAGCTTTTATAATTGCTCATGTCTTCACTTTTATTGAGATCTTTATTTCTCCATACAGCTTCAAGGTACTGTCTAGTGTCCTTTCATTTCACCTTGCATAACTCCCTTGAGCATTTCTTGAAGGGTATGTCTAGTGGTCATGAACTCCCTTGGGTTTTGTCAATCTGGGGAATCTTTAATATCTCCCTCACTTTTGAAGGACAGTTTTGCTGAAAAAAGGATTCTTAGCTGACAGGGTTTTTTTTTTTTTAAGATTTTATTTGTTTATTCATGAGAGATAGAGAGATGAGAGAGAGAGAGAGAGAGAGAGGCAGAGACACAGGTAAGAGGGAGAAGCAGGTTCCATGCAGGGAGCCTGATGTGGCGCTCAATCCTGGGTCTCCAGGACCAGGCCCTGGACTGAAGGTGGCGCTAAACCGCTGAGCCACCCTGGCTACCCTGACAGGGTTTTTATTTCCCCTTTAAACACTCAGAATATACAGGCCCAGTGCCTTGTGGCCTCCAAAGTTTCTGATGGGAAATCTGCTGACAATCTTATTGAAAATTCCTTGGATGTGATGATTTACTTTTCTCTTGCTGTTTTCCAGGTTCTCTGTCATTGTCTTTAGAAAGTGGTTATAATGTGTCTTGGTGTGGATCTCTGAGTTCATGTTACTTGGTGTCTGTCAAACTTCTCTGATGTTTATACTCACATCTTTCACCAAGTTTGGGAAGTTCAGCCAACATTTCTTCAAATATTCTCACTGTCCCTTTCTTTCTCCTTCTGAGCCTCCCACAATGTGCATGTTGTTCTCCTTGATGGTGTCCCACAGGTCCCTTAGACTCCATTCATTTAAAATATATATATATTTTCTTTCTGTTCTTCAGATTCAATATTTCAATTGTTGTATCTTCAACTTTGCTTATTCTTTCTTCTACCTGGTAAAATCTGTGGGTGGCAATGTTTCGTGCTAATTGCACTTATTTTCACAGTTATCCCCCTGTGGCAGGTGTTAGTTGGAATAAGAAATGGTGACATGAAATTGTGGAGGTGGCCCTCCATGACTGAAATTCCAGAGGCATCTATTCAGGATCACATGTTTCTAAGTCTCTGCCACCCACCCAACTGAAGACACATGCTCTCCCTTAATATATGCAGGTTCAACTTCATGCATGAAAATTGGTTCTAAGCCAAACCCACTACTTAGGCCCCAACTGAGCCCTGAACACTTCAGAATGAAGTCTTCCTCACTGTCAGCAAGTCTTGGGGGTTCTGGCTGATGCTTGGATACCATCTCTGGTATCTGCCACTATGAGTGGTTCCTGGTCCATTACCCCACTTCTCCTGCCACCAAAGACCAGAGACTTGGCTCTGAGTCCCAGTTAGCAGCTGGCTGACCTCCTGGAAAATCTTCTAGTCTGACCATTCATGTCTGGCTTGGACCTAGGTGCCTTGGGTCCTTGAGGGTGACAGCCTCTTGCACTAACCAGGAACCATTGTTGACAGATTTCTCTCAGTTCTCCTTCTATAATGTTGGCCTACTTTCCACAAATAGCTGTTGTTCCCTCAGGGAGTAGGCTCAACTCCTGAAGCCTGTCTGCTCCAAGTCTGCCTGGCCCTAGAACTGCAAAGGGGGCAGTTGGTAAGGTATGATAGCACATGTGTATGAACAGATAGCAGAGCCTAATATCCAAAGTGGACTATAACCATAATATCTCTACAATATGTCCAAACTGGAAAAGTTTTTAGAGTGAAAGTGAGCATCATTAATTGTTATGTCAGGAAAATAAACATAAATTGGAACATTCCTGTGCAAGATGGGTCACATAGTTACATATAAACTATTAGGGAAAGTTAATCATCCATTCTAGCATGCATGTGTGAGACTAATTTCCAAATATCTCGAGAACCTATAAAAAATGCAGCACCACGAACACACATCTAGTGAGAACAATGCAACATCATGACAAATCACATCTCGGTGGGGTAGCAGAGTGAAAAAACAGCCAGACAGACAAAGAGACCAACAGAAGGCATCATCCTCAGGGTAATTATGAGGGAAAATCATGAGATCACTGTGTATCTTGAAGATACTTTGTTTTCTCTCAAAGGGATTGTGTTTAATTATGGCCAGTTTGGGAATGGATATAATAAAACCAGGAGCACATAAAGTGGGATGCTAGAAACAATGCTGTGGGTTACTGAGAGAAAGCATATCAACAGACGTAAAGGAACTGTGGAAATGACACGGGGCAGCTGAGTCTACTCCAAGCAAGGGAGCTGAAGACATCAGCTCCATTAGGGAAGGTATTCTTTGTCTTCGAGTTCACATGTGTACCCCCAGGATTTAGGACAGTGAATGACAACCAGCAAATGCTCACTGAACATTTGTTCACTGACTGAAAGGATATAGGGTCAGCTTGATATGGAGAATGAGGCCTGGAGGAAAGCAAATCCAGCAAATCCACGGCCAGCCAGGGGCAGGGTCAGAAATAAAATCCAAACGTCTCAACTTCCAGCCTTACCTCCAGTGTCTGTGGAAGTCAATTAGACAGTCTTTGAGCATTCCTCCCTTATGTTGATCTTCCCACCACCTCTTTGCAAATATAGCCCTCCCTCATCTACCCCATTCCACCATCTGCCATCACAGGGTGCAGGAAACCAGAAGTTCCATAAGACCTTGCCCTGCTCTCTCCAGCAGCAACTTCTTTCTCCTCTGAGCTTTTGGCTGCACGATTGCTGCTATACTGTTTGGCCTCGTCTACCACCTCTTTCTTTCTGTTGTGTGTCTTCCTCAGTGGAAATAGCAGGGCCCTCTATTCTCTCCTTCCTGCATGAACTGGCCCAACTGGGACATTCTGTTAGGTCTGGTATCCAAATACCCCTCTGCAGATACTAGTTGCCCTACTTGGTGTGAGTAGGAGCAACACAGATCTCTCTCTGAGTAATGCAGATGAGTTTGGGTTTCTGAGGGGTGGAAGATATGGGTTTGATAGGGATGTTGTTCCAGGTGAACCAGGAACATGTTTACATGATATAATGCGAATCACATCCCCACGAAGGGAGGGCACATAAACAAATGATGAGACTGCATTGTGGAGTGACTGGGTTGAGAGGTGTCAAATTGTGTGGTACATATATGTCAGTAGCTTCTACCAATAGCCGGGAGAGCCATAAATCCTTCCAATCAGAAAACTAAGTCAAACCATCTCATCAACGTACCTTGGGAATCCTCTATCCCCCTCTCCAACTCCACCCCCAAAGATGGGTTAAGAGGTCTTGATGCGATCCTCTATTACCTGTTTTCTTCTTAACATCTCTTCCAGTTGAGAGGGAAAAGCTTAGACAGCCAGTAGAGGACTCATAGACAAGCTGGTAAGGTGAGTTCACTCCTATGGCTGGAGTGTTCATAGAGGAATCTGGAATGGAACACAGATTTTTTTTAACCAAAAATGTAATATGGACTTTTTGTTCTAGTAGTGTGGTAGAGTAGATATTTATTTAGATATTCTAAAGTGCCCTGGTTGTTACAAAACAACCAGATCTTGGAAGAAAAGGACTTTTTAATGCATGAACAGGCTCAAAGTAATTAAGGGAAATCTTTAAGATTTCTTTCTACAGTACCCCGTCCCCCATGCCACTACAATATCCCTTAAAAGAGAAATGACTCCCTGCTCCCCAGTGCAGGGAACAGGAAGCAACAAGCACAAAAGGCCATGGTATTACTGTGAGGGCAAATGCAGATATATGTGCAAAACTAGGTGGAAAGAATAAACATTGGGCCAACTATTCCCTTATCCAAGGCACAGAAATCAGATGCTTCTTCAACAGATCAGTCCCTTGCAGAATCACACTGTCACATGCAGAATCATTTGATATTTGACCACTTAAGAATTAAGCCATGGGGCTCCTGGGTAGCTCAGCCACTTAAGCATCTGACTCTTGACTTCAGCTCAGGTCTTGACCTCAGGGTCATGAGTTCAAGCCCTGCATTAGGCTCCATGCTGGGTGTGGAGGCTACTTTAAAAAATTAGCACCCCCATCACGAGTGGAAAATCTTGATCATACTTACATAAACCACATCAAATCATTTGCTCATTCTTTCCCCAAAACATGGTCATTTCACTGGTTAAGCATGAAATTGTTAGGAAATGTCAGGCACTGTGAATGTTTATCACAGGTCAACCAAATTCATAAAGAAAATGGCAAACTTCACCTCTTAAATAGACAGACTATAACCAAAAACTGGATACTGGATAATGCACACACACGAACAATACCCTTTGCTAGTGACCCAAAAGTTGAGATCAGAACAACTTTCAGTACTTTCGAGTTAACTTAGCAGAAATGAACTAACAACAAACAATACTGGTAAAGATGGGATGAAACTGGTCAACTATCCTGGTGTAGACAAAATCCATCTAGAAAACAGTATTTAGCAAGAGCTGTACACATACTGAGACTTTCTGCCCCCCAAAATCCCTCTCCTGGGAAATCAATCTTGATAAGCAATAGAAAATAAAGTTGCATAATACGATGCATATTATACTAAGAAACTTGAAAACCTAAGCATTTGGTTAATTATAGAACATGAACATTATAAGTCTACGTCCAGGGGTGCCTGGGTGGCTCAACTAGTTAAGCCGTCTGCCTTCCGTTCAGGTCATGATCTCAGGATCCTGGGATGGAGCCCCATTGAGGCTCCCTTCTCAGGGGAGAGTGTGCTAGGCCCTCTCCCTCCACCCCTCCCCCTGTTCATGCATGCACATGCTCGCTCTCTCTCTCTCTCTCTCTCTCTCAAATAAATAATTTTTTTTGTGAGTAAAGGAACATAAGTTTATTAAGTAAAGATACAGAAAAAGCTTTCAGAAGTGAGAGGGGTCCCAACAGGGTTGCCCACAAATAAAATCTTTTTAAAAAGTCTACTTCCACTTAAAATGACAATTATTAAAAATATATAACCATGTTGGCAAACATTTGTGTTTCACTAAAGGAAACTGAGAAACAGGAAAATGGTAGTATTGTTAAAATATATATGGAGAGGGACGTCTGGGTGGCTCAGTCATTGAGAGTCTGCCTTTGGCTCAGGTCATGATCCCGGGGTCCTGGGATCAAGTTCCACATCAGGCTCCCTGCATGGAGTCTGCTTTTCCCTCTGCCTGTGTCTTTGCCTCTCTCTCTCTGTGTCTCTCATGAATAAGAGGCAAATAGGCCTCTTATTTTCTTATATTTTATTTTCTTATATTTTCACCTGTGATCCTGCAAGAATGCTCAAACACCTTATGAAGTGAAATGCTAATGGTGACAGCCATTTCCTCTTATAGGTGAGGGGACACTATATTCAGGTAGGAGAGCACCATGGGCAGGTGTGAGGGTGAGCAGTTGGGCCAGGTGGGACGTTCCTATCCCTGCAACAGACCATCAGGCAGTGCGCCCCTCCAAATGAAATGGATCTCTAAGCTCTACGCAGAACACAAAGTGCAGGAATCCAAGTATGCTGGTAACCATCTGTGTAAATAGTTACAGCAGAGTTAGAGAGTCTGTGTTACTAGGGCATAGCTGACCCTGAACAGAATGGGCACAGAGGAAATTCCCATAAAACAAAGACCTCCAGTAGTTCATGGTAAATAGTGGGGGGTGAGGGGAAACCCATTGGAACTTGATATGAGAGAAGAAAAACAAATTCAATGCTCAAAAAACAAACCAATTAAAAAAAGAGCAGAAGACATGAACAGACAATTCTCCAAAGACACCTAGATGGCCAACAGATACATGAAAAGATGCTCAACATCACTTATCATCAGGGAAATGCAAATCAAAACCATGATGAGATACCACCTAACACCTGTGAGAATGGCTAAAATCAACAACACAGGAAACAACAGGTGTTGGCGAGGATGTAGAGAAAAAGGAACACTTGTGCACTATTGGTAGGCATGCAAACTGGGTGCCGCCACTGTGGAAAACCGTATGGAGGCTCCCCAAAAACTTAAAAATAGAATTACTGTATGATCCAGTAATACCACTGCTGAATATTTACCCAAAGAATATGAAAGTACTAATTCAAAAGGATACATGCACCCCAATGTTTATAGCTGCATTATTTACAATAGCCAAATTATAGAAGCAGCCAGCAATAGATGAATGGATAAAGAAGACATGAGATATAGATATAGATATAGATATGGATATAGATATAGATATAGATAGATAGATAGATACATATATGTGTGTGTGTAAAATATATGCCACCCAGGCGCCCCAAGAAAGATTTTTTTAAATATTTTATTTATTTATGAGAGACACAGAGACAGAGAGAGAGGCAGAGACACAGGCAGATGGAGAAGCAGGCTCCACGCAGGGAGCCCAATGTAGGACTCGATCCCGGGACTCCAGGATCACGCCCTGGGCCAAAGGCAGTGCCAAACCACTGAGCCACCTGGGCCGCCCAAGAAACAGACTTTTAAATACAGAGAACACATTAATGGTTACCAGAGGGGAGATAAGGGGTGGGGAGGAGTGAAACAGATAAAGGAGATTCACAGTACACTTATCATGATGAGCACTGAGTAATGTACAGAATTGCTGAATCACCATATTGTACACCTGAAACTAATAGAGCACTCAATCACAGCAGAATTAAGGTTAAAAATAGCAGAAAAAATTTAGAAACTAATAAAGTGTAATAAAAGGAAAAAGAAAAAAGCATACTAAGATTGAGGCTCAAAAAAAGGAATGAAAAAAAAAAAAGGAATGAGAAAACAAAAGTTATCCAAATAGGGGCACCGCGGTGGCTCAGTTGGTTAAGTGTCCGACTCTTGATTTGGACTCAGGTCATGATCTCAGGATCATGACATAAAGCCCACGTTGGGCTCTGCTCTGAGCATGGATCAATTTGGGATTTTCTCTCCCCCACTCCCTTTGCCCCTCCTCCCCCACTCACATACACTTTCAAAAAAAGTTATAAAAATAACTTTCTTTTACCTTGTATTCAACAAAAATTTGTTGGTATTGTAAACACGCACTAATTCTTTTTTTTTTAAGATTTTATTTATTTATTCATGAGAGACACAGAGAGAGAGAGGCAGAGACACAGGCAGAGGGAGAAGCAGGCTCCATGCAGGGTGCCGAATGCGAGACTTGATCCTGTCCCGCAAGATCATGCTCTGAGATAAAGGCAGACACTCAACCGGTGAGCCACCCAGGGATCCCATCACACACACTAATTCTTAAAAGCAATAAAAATGATGATCATTTTTGTGAGGTGGGGTGATTTTCTTTTTTCCTAAATGGTTGGTTGTACAAGAGCGATAAAACAGGAGTTCCTTCATATTGCCTTTGCAAAAGCATCCAAGGGCTTTAGCTGCTTTGCTTTTTAACCCTTTGATACCCAAACCATCCTTTCTCCATAAAGTCACTGCTCCAGACAATTTTCCTGTCTCCAGTAGCTGACTAGTTTTGCTCCACTGAGCCATCATCAGAGGCTCTGCGTGGGAACTGAGTAGCCTTCCAACATTATTTCTACTGGCTTCATGAAATTCCACATTTTTCCCCCAAGGATGGCAATTTTATTGTGTAATTTATTTGTACTGAACATGTATATTATCAGATGTTTAACCTCTGATCAAGGGAAGCCTGACAAACATCCAGTGGACGTGGAGAGATGCTAGGTGGGAATGGATTTTACAAAACCGCCTACCAGGGAGGATGAGTTTTAGCCATTCAAAATGAACATAGGTGACCTTTGAACAACATGGATTTGAACTGTGTGGGTCCATTTATACGTGAATTTTTTCTGATAAATACAGTAAGTACTGTAAATGTATTTTCTCTTGGGATTTTCTTAATAACATCCTCTTTTCTCTAGCTTATATTAACGTAAGAACACAGTATATAGCACATATACAAGGTATGTGTTAACCAACTGTTGATGTTATCCGTAAGGCTTCTGGTCAACAGGAGGCTATTAGTAGTTAAGTTTTGGCAGAGTCAGGAGTTGCATGTGGATCTTCAACTGCTTGGGCAGTCAGCACATGTTGTGCAAGGGTCAACTGTACTTATATCTATCACACTCAAGAGATACATTAGATACAATTGAATCACCTTTGTCTTCCAGACCCCACTTCCCCCACCCTTCTCCAGAACTCACTTCTCCAACTTTGCATCTGGCATTTCCCTTCATGCTTTTTTACTTGCACTCTGCATAATGTACTCATAAGCAATATATTACTTGTGTTTTTTAAGAATTTTATTTAAGTAGTATTATACCAAATGTATCCTTCTAGAATTTGCTTTTATTTGCTTAACACTATTTTTTGAGATTGATCTATATTGATATGTGTGTTTTAGTGCTTGTTTCATTTTGTATTTTTTTCCTTTTTAATTGAAGTACAGTTGAGATTCAATATTAGTTTCAGGGGGGATCCCTGGGTGGCTCAGTGGTTTAGCGCCTGCCTTCTGCCCAGGGCGTGATCCTGGAGACCCGGGATCGAGTCCCACGTCAGGTTCCCTGCATGGAGCCTGCTTCTCCCTCTGCCTGTGTCTCTGCCTCTCTCTCTCTCTGTGTCTCTCATGAATAAATAAATAAAATCTTAAAAAAAAAATATTAGTTTCAGAAGTGCAATATAGTGAGCCCACGTTTGTGTACATTACAAAATGCTCATCACAGGGGTGTTTTGCCTGCTTACTTGGTGGAGTGCGTGACTCTTGAGCTTGGGGTCATGAGTTCGAGCCCCACGTTCGGTGTGAATATTACCTAAAAAAATATGTTGGGGCACCTGGGTGGCTCAGCGGTTGAGCCTCTGCCTTTGGCTCAGGTGGTGATCCTGGGGTCCTAGGACCTAGTCTCATATCATGCTTCCCGCAGGGAGCTTGCTTCTCCTCTGCCTATGTCTCTGCCTCTCTTTGTGGCTCAAATAAATAAATAAATAAATAAATAAATAAATAAATAAAATATTTAAAATATATTTTTTAAAAAATGCTCATCACAATAAGTGTAGTCACCATATAAAGTTGTTACATGGTGTAATCTATAGTCCCTATACTGTACAAGTGCTTGATTTTTACTTCTCACTATGTTCCATTGCCTAAACAGACTATAAATCATATTTCTCCTGTTGAAGGACATTTAGGTTGCTTCCAATTTTATTTTCCTTTGCCGTTCTAAACAGTGCTACTTATAAACATTCTGGGACAACTTGTACCTGTGTGCCACGTGTGCCTCTCAAGTGTGGCCAGGGGCCTGCTGTGAACCCACACCAGGCCATGATCAGATGAGCATGGAAATTAAGAGTAAACATTTAGAAAACTCTGTGGAAATTTGACATTCCTGTGACATCATATTTTTGAAAAGATTGGCAATTTTATACACTGGTCCTTCACCACAGATAGTTTGAAAGGCACAGCTGTAGGGAATGACCTAGAAGAGAAATTGCTGGGTTGTAAGATGCTAGAACATCTCCCGTCTTGCAGATACTATCAAACTGCTCTGCAGGGTGACTGCACCACCTTATATACTTACCTGCAGCATTTGAGGATCTCTGTTGCTTCAGGATCTTTCTGTTTGAGAACCCACCTCAACTCTTAGGGATGTCAAATGTTTAAAATGGGGATTTGACTCTCTATCTTGCATTCTTATTGGCACTATTTGAACTTCCACCTAAGGGCTGAAGCTTGGGTACCCACCTTTCCCAAACTGTCCAACACTCTGACCACTTCTCCCAATTGTGCCAATCAGGTAGTCAAAAGCCATCTCCTTGGCATTGAGGTGGAGGAGCTGGCTGGCCTCCACAAAACGCCTTGTGATATCCAGGGGATTGGCACCTAAAAAGAATCATTGAAGTAACTCATTTTTTTCCTGGTGCAGGGCTAATGCTTCCAGAAAAGGATCTCTGTAAATGCCCCAGGAAATTAGGGTAGAGGGAAGACCCACTCCTAGGGTAAGCAAGTTTGAGGGTCTTCCTCATGGAAGGGCATTTTGCTCTCTGCCCCCCCCTCCCCTTCTCTCTTCCTACCCATAGGCCAGGGTACTGATGCCATTAGTATCTAAAATAACATCTAGAAGGCTCTAGAAGCATCTAGAAGGCTCAAGTACTGGTAAGGATCTATCTCTCCTCCTTGATCTTGGGGTTACACCCTTACCATGGATGGTCTTCCTAACCACCAATCGGCCCTCTCAATTTACCTCCCTCTTCATGGATGCTGCCTCTCTCCACCTCTGCATCATTTCCACAAACTCCACCCTTCAGTACCTCTGGCCTCACACTGTTCTCCACAGCCTACCTCTTCCAGTCTGGACTCAGCAACATTGGGGAAATGGGAGGAAAGCATGGAGAACAGTAGGGGTGAGAGGATGACTCTTGAGAGGGCTATAGGAAGGGGTTTGATTCCTATAGCAGACCCGTGGCTGCCACCTATCCCCAGCATATCCTTATATACCTGTCTGGGGTGGCTGTGGTGGACACACACATCAGTCTGGGCAGATCCTTCCAGGCTCAGAAAAAATGGAGAAGAATCTGGCGAGCCAGCCTTACCAGACACGGACTCCACCATGGCCTTCATCTTCAGGGCGAGCAGCTCTGTGAGCAAGTGAATGGACTGCCGCTGGAATTTGTGCAGGGTCTCCTGGCCAGAGTGCATCAGATAGCCATGGGTGGTGAACTTGGCTGGCCCGGTGGGCAGCAACTGTGGCGGTGGTATTGCTGGTGGTGCTGGCTTCTTCTGGACAGGGACCTGCATGGGGGCTGATTCCATAAGCACTATGGGGGGAGCTCCAATGCTGATCTCCAGGCCCATGATGTCAGATGGGGTAGGCACCATGGGGTCGGCAATAAGCTCCTCCCAAGTGAACTCAAAGATGTTCCTGATGCCCTTAGGTACAGAAATGCCTGAGTTCCGGCAACTGATGAGCAGTTTGGAGATGCGGGCCAGGAGCCTGGGGGCCGAGGCTGTGTATTGCTGGTACAGTTCTCGGTTGCTCTTGATGTCATTCATGTTGCTACAGTATGCATACTGCTAGGTAATACTGTCCATCTCGGACCAGATGGACCTGCAGCTATAGAAAGTCAAAGCCCCTGAGAGGTGAATGAGAGTGACAGTTCTTACCTAAGGTGAAGCCTTGGAGACAGACAATATGGAAGTGCTGAAATGGCCTTTACAGGTCATTGAGCCAGCGGGTCCTATCCAGGAAGGATAAGGAAATAACTGATGGCTCCTCATACAGTAGGGCAAAGAGATGTCCCTCCTCTTCCCTTTTATTCCCCGAGACAGGATCAGATAAGCCCACATTAGTGGGTGAGTTTGGGAAGGGCCTTTGGAATGACTGGATTCCAGAAATGGTTTCAGGGACAGTTCTACAAATTGAGACCTCTTGGAGGAACCCTAGGTGCTGGAGGAGTGGAAAGGATAGGAAAGGAGAAAGGTTTCACTGTACCTTTTATAGTTAGAGACCTGAGGGTGGAAGATCTGCTTGTGGTCTATTAATAAAAACCTGCAAAAACAAAAACAAAAACAAAAAACATTTTATTGGCTCTCTGGAGGAAGGTGATGTGGAAGTTCCAGGTGGCAATGCAAGGATGGGCATGCAATTATTCAACATGAACATCCAAGGGCAGACAGAAAAGAATGAGGAGAATAAATTTTCTCAATTCAATGATTAATATTTGCCACATTTCATCAAATCAAGTTTTGATGTAATTGGTTATAAGATATACCATCTTACAAGAAAGAAAAAAATCAATGTAAGATGCCATTGACCATAAGACATATCACAATTTAAGAGATGTTAAAATGGAAAAAAATGCATACCTTAAAATCAGTGAACTGTAATAAATATTTTTCCCCATTTAAAAAAAATTTCCCACTTTAATAGAACTTCATGAGGGCTCTGAGTCCTCATCAAGTAGACATATATGGGTTAGCAGATCAGCATACTCGTGTCTGGGTCAGCTGAACACCATTAGGTACTGTGGTGGTTTTTACCCTGACATACTTCTAAACTGTGTTTTATTCTTATCTTCTTAATACATATCAAAAATAGACCACTGGTTGAAGTGAGGGAGTGTGAAGAACAATTTGATAAACACAAAAATGGCCGGGAAAATCTGCAAATAGACTTGTAGAGTTTTGTAATCAGATCTGAAAGTTTCATTTATCTGACCAAAATGAACTCCAGAAGGACATTCTTCAGTAATATATCAATCTAAAATACATTGGCAATAATGTAAAGTCACTTCTTGATCTTGAATTACACAAAAATGATGATTTATTTCTTTTCATTTCTGAGGGGCTGTGTGAGAACATGAGCCTCTGCAAAAGATGCTCAGGAATCCAGAACACAGGGGTGCCTGGGTGGCTCAGTCAGTTAAGCATCCAACTCTTGGTCTCAACTCAGGTCATGATATCTTGATTCTGGGATTGAGCCCTGTGTCAGGCTCCACTCTCAGTACAGAGTCTGCTTGTCTGCTCCTCCCTTGCTTATGCATGTGTGCATGTTCTCTTTCTATCTCAAATAAATAAATAAATAAAATCTTAAAAAAAAAAAAAGAATCCAGAACATGTAGGAAAGGCTGACCTAAGGGAAGTGTAGGGTAGAAGAGGGTGGGGTCCACCCCCATCACCTTTGCTGGCATTTCCATGCAGTGTAGGCCAGTTGCCCTGTTGTGTGCCTTAAATGGCCCCAAAAGCACACTAATACGCTAGAGGGCCTAGTAATGTCGGCCCTGAGACCAGAGGAAGGACTGCTGGCCTGGCCTGACAATTCTTGTTACCACAGCCTTCCAACCGTCAATTCTACCTTCCATCCTGACAATCACTCCCCACAATGTCCATGGTGGTCTTCTCCTGCCAGACAATCCTCATTCTTTCACCTCTCAAAACCGTATCCTTTGGAGCCACCCCAAGTTCACCCCTGGGGTGCACCACCAGCGTTTACAGAGCAAGTTAACAGGCACGATCTGCTGTGATCACCCTGGGGTGAGATTATTATGATCTGCTGTGATCACCCTGGGGTGAGATTATTATCTCTCCCGTGTCACTGATGAGGAATCAGAGGCTTAGGGAGACAGGGCTCCAGGTCAGGCGGGAGTTGCCTATGTGTTGACTCCTGGCACAGAAGCTTTCCAAACACAGTATGATTTCCTCACAGCCCTTAAGTTGCTCCTGCCCATCTATCAGCAATAAAACCTCTAAGGAACAAGAGTTGCACAGAGCAAACCCTTTGGACATCCTGGTTTTCAGATAAGTGGCTTCCCAAGTCTATTTGCCTGCCCCCTGGCATCCCTATTTCTCAGCTTTGGAGACTCAGAAAAATACTTCATATTTAAGATGATAAGTCTGCAAGACAAAGAAACCACTCAGAATCTCAGTCATCTGGGCAACCAGCCAGAAGGATCTGACCCTGACCAAGAAGGGCAGGATTTTTTTTTTTTTTTTAAGCCAAGGACTCAAATGAAGAGAAGACAAATACAGTCCTTGAAATCTTAACTGGTCTGAGGAAATTCCCCTCATCCCACCCCTACCAGTTCATTTCTTTTGAGGTTAATTTTGAAGAGATGTCTTACAAACAGATAAAGGCCTTTTAAAGCAGTTTTATTGAGATATAATTCACATATTATACAGTTTGCTCCTTTTAAAGTGAACAATGGTTTTTAGTATATTCAAAGCTGTGCAACCGACACCACTATCTAATTTTAGACCATTTTCATCACCTCCAAAAGAAATCCATTAGCAGTCACTCCCCAGCCCCCCTTACTCCTAGGGAACCACTAATCTAGTTTCTCTATAGATTTGCCTGTTCTGGGCATTCCACATAAATGAAATCACACACCATGTTGTCTTTTGTGACTGGCTTCTTTCACTCAGCATGTCTCCAAGGTTCATCCATGTTGAGCATGTATCAGTTAGGTCATTCATTTTTATGGCAGAATAATAACCCATTATGTGGATATACCACAACTTATTGATCCATTCATTATTTGGTTGACATTTTGGTTGCTTCTACTTTGGGGGCATTATGAATAGTAGTACTATGAACATTCATGTACAAGTTTTTGCGTGTACAGATGACCTCACCAAGATCCTCCTGATCGTACATCTAGGAGTGGAATTGCTGGGTCATATGATGACTCAGTGTTTAACATTTCAAGGGACTGTCAGACTGGTTTCCAAAGTGGCTGTACCATTTTATAGTCCCACCAGCAATATAGGAGAGTTCTAATTCTCCCATGTCCTTGTGAGCACTTGTCTTTTTGATTCTAGAGCCGTTCCAGAGAGTGTGAAATGATATCTCACAGTGATTTTGATTTGCATTTCTCTAATGACTAATGATGGTGAGCATCCTTTTGTGTGTTTATTGACAAATTTATGACTTCTTTGGAGAAAAGTCTGTTTGGATCTAAAAGCTGTTTTTTTTTTTTAAAGAAATGTCATTTAAAATTAAACACTGTCATATATTTATATTTACATTTAATTATATATAAATATTACAATAATCAACATAAATATTGTTATATTTATAATTTATATTTACCTGTATTTTAAAAATATTTTTAATTAATTTATTTATTTACTTGGGAGGGGATGGGACAGAGGGAGAGGGAGAGAGAAAACTCAAGCTGACTCCATGCTGGGCACAGAGCAGGACACAGGGCCTGATCCCATGATCCCATCACAACCTGAGCCAAAATCAAGAGTCAAACACTTGGGATCCCTGGGTGGCGCAGCGGTTTGGCGCCTGCCTTTGGCCCGGGGCGCGATCCTGGAGGCCCGGGGCGCAATCCTGGAGACCCAGGATCGAATCCCACGTCGGGCTCCCGGTGCATGGAGCCTGCTTCTCCCTCTGCCTGTGTCTCTGCGCCCCTCTCTCTCTCTCTGTGACTATCATAAATAAATAAAAATTAAAAAAAAAGAGTCAAACACTTAACTGACTGCACCACCCAGGTGCCCCAAACTGTATTTATTGCCATATATTTATCTCTTCAAAATTCAGCTAGAGGTGCCCCTGTGCCTAAATCCTACCTATGAGATGAAAGTAGACTTGCTTGGTAGGGACCTGAGACATGTTTTTAAAGGAGGCTACCTTCATGGACAGAACGCTCATTCGTTCCTCTCAAGCTACCCTTTCCTTTCATTTGGAACAGATGATTTGGCTGCAGCTCCAGTAGCCATTTAGAGCCATGAAATGACCTTGGAGAAGGAAGCTATGCACTAAAAGTGGCTGAGCAGAGTGACAGAGCCTGGGCTCCTGATGATACAGTAGTACCCCCACACTAGCACTTGGCCACCTACTTCCAAACTTATTTTACAGAAGAGAATGAACCCCTTTATTTAGATCTCTGTCCTTAGCAGTCAAGTGTGATTCCTGACTGACCACCAGCCATGTTGAAGCACCATCCCACCCTTCGTTCTATGTATCCATTTTTATTCTGTCATTGGTTTTCCATCACTGAGACATGGGCCTTGCCCTCAAGCAGCTCAAAGCTTAACAGGCAGGGCAGCCCCGGTGGTGCAGTGGTTTAGTGCCACCTGCAGCCTGGGGTGTGATCCTGGGGACCCAGGATCGAGTCCCACGTCAGGCTCCCTGAATGGAGCCTGCCTGTGGAGCCTCTCCCTCTGCCTGTCTCTGCCTCTCTCTCTCTCTGTGTCTCTTATGAATAAATAAATATTTTAATAATTAAAAAAAAGCTTAACAGGCAGATCAGACTTACAAAATTAACTTATAGACAATATGATAAGGGTCATACTAGAGAAAAATGTACAAGGGCTGTGAAAACCCAAAGAAAAAGGTCTAATGGAAGTAGAACTGAAGATGGTTATAAAAGATGAGCAGAACTGGGCCACCTGGGTGGCTCAGTGGTTGAGCATCTGCCTTCAGCTCAGGGCGTGATCCTAGAGTCCTGGGATCGGGTCCCACATAGGATTCCCTGCATGGAGCCTGCTTCTCCCTCTATGTCTCTGCCTTTCTCTGTGCATCTCTCATGAATAAATAAATCTTT